TAATACATTTACATACTTCTGGTTCAGTGATGTTATGCTGCATCAACTGCTAAGGGTGAAGTAGACAAATACTCCTATCAGGCATATGCTGTGCATGTGCAATCATGTTTCAAGTTTGGTTTTATTCAGATGTGTTTTGTTTGAGATCAACAGTATTAATTCCAAAAACTGAACCAACTCACCTAGATTGATAAAGGGGAAGACATTTCTGATAGTTTGCTTAGAAGGCCCACTTAGCAAATTTCATGTTTTCTTCATTTTCCCAAGTTTGCTGTATTTTAAATGAACTATTATGGTTGGGGTTGTTGGAAGATAGCCAAACAGGACTTCATAGCTCATGCTGGACATGGTTATGCTATTTGTTATTGTCAAGGATACAAATTTTCCTGCTGTTGAAGGAAAATAAGGCCATGCTGTGTCACTTAACACTGGCTCGGGTGGGGGTCAAATTGACCCCTCCGAAGGTTTTTCCAGAATGGTTTCTGAACGGCGCGGCGCAGCCGCGCCAAATTTTGCACAGCTGTAGTCAATTGAATAGCGGGTCGTTTGACATCAAACATTTAGATGTACCTTGTGAGGTCGCTGACCTATGACAGGTCAAAATCAGGCCATGGTTTTAGCGAAGGCAATTTCTAGGGAATCCTTCGATCTGACCCAACGACGGAGTGTTAGACGAAGCCATACATTTTTGAGATGCTTTCTTAGACTACAAAACAGTTGAATAAGCATATTAAATTGACCTGAGGTCAGGTATGAAGTTCACACCAAGGTCGAAACCAATCTGTTTTGTTACCCTGTGGCTTGTTGTATGAGATAGTTTCTGGTGCTCATTTCGAATTTGTTGATAGCAGGAACCGCATTACACATCATCCATGGACCTTATAGAGGTCAGAATAGGTCATTGACCTAAAATGACCCAGGTCGACATTTTGTTTTAGGAACATACTGCCTGGCGTAATCTTTGTCTCTTAGTCAAATGCAAAACTCAAAGCAATCTTGTATTATTTTGGTCATCCTCACCTTCAAAAGGTAAATAAAGGTCACTTTTCTTAAATGAGCGTGACATTTTTTGCTTAGAAGCAGTTATATAGGCTCTGGGGCACTTTGGAGACCAACCAGGAATTTGACCTTGTTTGGCCTTTTTTGACCCGAAGGTCATGATTTAGGAACCTGAAACTTTGACCTAAGTGAGTTCACGTACAGGTCAACACACCCTGTAAATTTGGTATCTCTAGCTTTCTTAGTTCCTGAGATCTCAGGGGGGTCAAATTGACCCCCACCCCCCACCCGAGCGAATGGTATCTAGCCGGCCACCCGGGCGCGTGTTAAGTGATGTCTTGGTTGTAAACCCCGTGCATATGGACAGTACCCTGTAACTACCATGCAGTAAATGAATATACTGTGTGATTGAGGCTATGCTTGCTCTATCTACCTGTAGTTTAGCGAGGGTAATGCTTTTAGTAAAGACTCGCCGCACTCCAGCGACCGGTACGTGGTATCTTTTTCAGACCGGTTTCAGTCTTCACCATTCACGATATTTATCGTAACGCATGACACAGTCAAATCAATGGCTCGTTATACCCGATGGAAATCGAGACCGGGATTTTTGTGGCGGAAGCAGTGCCTCAATCCTCAAGGTCCCAACAGCAGTGTCTAGGCTGCTGGGTATTCTTGCCACACGTGAAAATGTTCAAATTATGAAATAAGCGATTTTGTCAGGTAGACGATGATTTTCCATGAAAGCATTCAAGTGTTCTTTTTTCAGCGATGCTAATCACATTCAACTGCAGTTGAACCTTGAAAAATGCAAATAATTGGGCATGTTCTCGTGTTCCTGTTATGAAATGTTTTCATGGTATTGTGATATAAGCTTACATACTTTCGCACGTATTTCAGTAGTTTGTGTTGCCCTTTCCTAAGAATTCCAATCCATCCGACTGGATGAGGTGAGAGCTTATGTAACATCATAACGCCAGGAGAACGTATCATTAGGGGAGCATAAGAGCATACCCAAATATACGTATTTAATTAAAGGGCCGAGTGTGGGTGAGTATGGCTCGCTTTAGTACACAAAAAAAAACACGAATTGATTTCTGCGGAAATGGTTACTGGTCAGTAATATTTAACGGCTCTGTAATCGTGTCACTTCGCATATGACACCAATAGCCTAGTAGACTGGGGAACCACAGCGCTCCGTTTCCAAAAGGCCACTTTTTCCAGTTATTGCATAACGCCGCTTAATAATCGGGGACCAAAATATCCGTGCGCTGCTCCGCAAATTACTGCTGCCAGTAACCTAGAAAAGTCTGCAGCCACGCAACAGTTTTCTCCACACTTGTTTGGTAACGCGTCGCTCTCCACCAGTCCGCCCCGCCCTCCGACGCGCGTCGTACGGCCAGGTCCGCCCTCGGGCAGCTGCCGGGAAGGCTCGGCGCTGCCCGGCCCCGCTGGGAGCTCGGCTGGCGCGGCACCGTCTGCCGCCGGCGGCGTTAGCATGCGCCAGATTACGGCGCGGTCATTGTGCGACTTTATGGGCAGCCCGATGCCGAGCCAGCGCACCGTTTGAATGCAGGAGGCTGTAGGCACGGATCGCCGCCGGGTGTTCGGTACGGGCGCCACGGGCGCGGCGGCGTCCGCGGCGGGCGTGAACGGCTCGGATACGGCGTCAGGAACTGTCTGCATTAGGTCGCGTCGCGATAGCTGGCCATTGGCAGTGGCGCTTCGTGGCGGGGATGCGCCAAATGCGGCCTGTTATCATGCCGTCTCTGACGTGCCCCAAACGGCGGCATGTTCTCTAGTCACGTCCCGCCGTTCAGTATCGCTGGCGCTGTTTAATACAGTAGCCCGCTTAAGCTCCAGACATTATAAGGCGCCCCCCGGTGACGTTTTGTGGCCGGCAGCAGTATTGCTGCAACGTCACGTTATGGGTTCTCTGCCTGCCAAGCACTGCTTGCCGTACTTGGTGCCATGCTTTTAAATCCACAGTGTCCTAACGTCGTCTTGTTGCAGGCTACGGCCGCGTCCAATGCCACTAAGACCGCTTCAAAAACCGGCTCCAAAATATCCACCACCAAATCCCCCTCCAACGCAGCCGCCGGCAAGACCCCGTCTAACGCATCCACCGCCAAGACCCCTTCGATGACGTCCACCAAGAAAACTTCCTCCATCGCGTCCTCGAAGAAAGCCCCCTCCACCGTATCCGCGACGAAAACCCCCTCCAATGCGTCGACTAAGAAGACACCTTCCATCATGGGCGCCGCCTCCAATGTGCCTATCTCTAAAACGGCGTCCAATGTGGAGGCCAAGCCACCGACGCCTGCCGAGGGGGCCTCCCGGACGGGCATCTTGTTTGACTCTGCCAAAGGAGAGACCGCCCTGGTGACCAAGGGCTTTAAGACGCTCGTCAGGAAGCTGAAGGGCACTTGGAAGATAAGCAGGTGGGCGTCCCCAGCCATTCTCGGGAGCCGGGTGTCTCCCGCTTGGGATGCCCGCGGATTTCAAGCGAATAACTGTCGTTTCGTTATAGCGCGGTCGATGGGCAGCGTCGTGGAGCATAGCCAACATTTGGCAGGCAGGTCCAGCTGTTTTCCACTTCGTTCTCGTGATTTTTGCCTTAGTTTTCTGTGTTCAAGAATGTTCCTTATATGAAAGTTATCTACTTGCGACATTCTTCGCGTTTGTAGCGGTGGCTGCTTCAGTTTTGATAGCTGTCCACGCATCATACGAACTCAGCCTTAATCTGTAAATCATGTCGTTATCGCCCGGATGTGTTAGACAATTCACGCCAGTCAGAAGCACCGCGAGGACAAACACACATGTTTCATTTGTTTCAGCAACAAGGAGGAACTGTTTGCCGAGGTGCTAGCGGAGACGAGGGTGCTCGTCATCCCGGGCCCACGGGCCAAGTTCAGCGCCGAGGAAATCCAGGTCTGGTGGCGTGCGTTGAGCTGAATCGAAAGTGCTGAAGCCTAGGAGCACAAAGGAGTAGAAGATCCAAGTAGAATATCTGAACATTATTGATCCTTCCGTCAAATTGATTCGAGAATACTGCTTTTTACTTCGCACCGTCCTTGTCTTTCGTCTTGGATAGCGCATTTGAAATGAGCCCAAAGGAATAAGTCCAAGGCTACTCCTCTTGAGGATCAGGAAATGTTATTTGAGCTGTGTGTAGACACATTCGGGTTGGTTTTGCAGTGCTGCAGTGTTACAATCCGGTTATCCCGGTTTAACACGTTAGATAAAGGGCATACATTCCATTTGTGGGATGTCTCATGCACTATGGACCGCTACGGGATGTTGGGCCTTGAAGGTTTAACAACCCATGGCTGGTATGGTTGATCATCGTCAGGTACTATGAAGAATCATGTCACCTTGTCAGACACCGTACAACCATCCTAGCGAGTTTGATATGTCGCTGCTGGGTCTCCGTGCGACACCATGTCGCCGGACCGGACCCCACCAGGTGGGGCGTCACGTCGCGTGTGGGTCAGCTGCAGAAGGTGGCTGATGCATCTACATACCACTAGGCGTCATCTTGACACTGTGCCGGTGGCGCGTCGCCAGATGCTGAAGCGGTACGTGGAGGAGGGCGGCAGCCTGTTGGTGATGCTGGGCGAGGGCGGCGAGAAGCGCAACGACACCAACATCAACTACCTGCTGGAGGAGTACGGCATGAGCATCAACAGCGGTGAGAGCTGGGCTGGGGGAGAGCGGCGGCGAGGCGGGTCGGCCGGGCGCCGCTCGTCACCGGCCACACGGCCGCTCCGGGGCAGCTGGAGGCGTGGGCCGATCACCGCGGCAAGACTGTCGGGATGGTGCTGGCGACCGTGTAACGGCTGAGATGGTGTGATTAACATGAAATGGACCTCTGAGATAGCCCATGTGAAGTGAATCACTGCGCCGTAGCTGACGGCGTGAAGCGCCACGGGGCCGTTCGACGGATCATCGCTGGACGCGGTGTGAAGTGAACGACTTTTGTCCGACAGAGGGATATCATATGGATATTGTCATATAACGATTTGGTCGTGCATTCCTCAGTGGTATTAGAGGCGCGTATTGATTCGCACAAGCACATCACCGGGCTAGCGGTGATGTAACAGCTCCGTCCTGGCCCGATCCCAGACGCTGTGGTGCGCACCCAGTACTACAAGTACTTCCACCCGAAGGAGTGCTACATCTCCAACGGCATCATGAATCGCGCGCTCGGCCAGATGGCAGGCAAGACGACGCCCGGCATCGGCATGGACGACGACGGCAACAACCCACAGTGCGTCCCGTGGGCGGGCGGTCCAGCCGACTAGCACACGATCACTCGCGAATCGCACTGTGTTGGGACCGGCGAGCAATGTTGCGCCGGAAGTATTTCTCAGAGTCCTGTTCGCTTTCTTTATTGAACAGAGCATTTGCATATTGATGCTTGCAGAAGAGTTGCATCTCAGCAGCAGTGGACGTCCATGCTGTATGGGTTGGGCCGTGGTTCTCCCCACTGGTAGTCGAATCGATAGTGTGACCCGGAGCTCGGCCTCCCTCCGACGAGAGTCCTGCCCGCCCCGTCCTGACACCGGCGTCGGCTGTGTCGCAGGGCTCTGGTGTTCCTTTATCCGTTCGGTGCATCCATCAACGTGGCCAAGCCGGCTACCCCGCTGCTCTCCACGGGCAGCGTAGCCTTCCCCAGCAACAGACCGGTACTGCGCCTCCAGGACGCCCCCCGCCCTGTGCCGTCCAGCTTCCGTACTCAGATCCCCCCCCCTCCCCCCGTACTTCTGTGTCGTGCCCAGCTCTCCTCCGGGCACTCTTCTTCCGTCCTCTGTTCTGACTGTTCTCTACCACCTAGGCCACACACTCATCCATTGGCGACAGAGCGTTTGGTCCAATGCCCGTTTTAGGACCATATCGGTACGGGGATTCGCTGCCGTCCTCCCCGTTCCGGCCCCTTCAATCCTTTCCCTGTGCCCGGTCGGTTGGCTGCACTCTCGCGCGATGACGTCGTCATCCCTGCACAAAGACCGGACGCACGGATCGCTAGCTCACCGCGTGATTTTGAATGTTGCGGCCGTGAGTTCCCCGTCATTCTGCGTTCCTCTTCCCATCACCCTGCGTTCTTCTCCCCATATCACTCTGCGTTTCTCTCCCCGTCGCACTGCGTTTCTCTCCCAATCGCTCTGCGTTCCTCTCTCCGTCGCCCGTTCGTCATCACCGCGCTATGCTGCGCTCCCAGATCTGCGGCCTCTACCAGAACGAGGTGGGCGGCAAGATCATTGCGCTGGGGTCGGTGGCCATGCTCACCGACCAGTACCTGGAAAAGGAGGAAAACATGAAGGTCAAGGACGTGCTGTTCGACATCCTCTGTCTGCCGGATATGGTGTCACTCAACAAGATCGACGCCGGTAATCCGGAGGTGAGGCGCGGCACGTGCTGGTGGCAGCGGCCGCCTCCGACAACAGGGGAGCAAAGGACTGTAGAGGCCAGTGCTGACGGGGTGGGGCGGTAGAGAAGCACAGGGGGGGGGGGGGGTGGAAGAAACGCGCGGGCGGTAGAAGCCGGCATTGACACCGAAGGGGCCGCGCGCGCGGTAGAGACCGGTGCCGCGCCGGGCAAAGATGTGTGGTGCGGGTGGCGGCCTCTCCAGCCACGCTAGCACAGTGCGGTGGAGGGGTCAGTTCGAGTCTTCTCCAAACGGTGCCAGTTCTAGATGGGCTTGAATGGCGTGTACCTGAGTAGGATCGCATGTAATACATAGACATTGCATTAGAGGGTGGGAGCGAATGGTCTATGACGCGCAATACACTTCAGTGGCATGCACATGATGTGGCGCTGCGGTAGCATCGTGGTATGACTGATATCGTATCAGGCTTCAGGTGCTGGACTAAAAGCAAGGGTAGACCATTAGTCTCGGCTGTGACGACGCCATCATGGTCCATGCCGTCACCGTGTTAGCAGAGATTGCAGCCCCGAGCGAGACCTGGCTGACTGGGCCGCCTCTACCGTCGCCAGATAAACGACTACAACCTGATTCCGGCGATCGGCATCCTGGCCGAGCGGCCTCGCGTCTGCCTGCAGGAGTCGGACAGCGTGCCGACCGACCTCAGCAAGCTGTTCGACACGCAGGTGTACTCCATCAATACTCGGCTGGTGCCGCAGGTGAGTCGCCCGCCGGTCGGCCTGACCCCCGGCGGACCTCCGGACGCTGCCGGACTCTGGGGGCTAAGGGGCAGGGCGGCGGACTCTGGAGGCTCGGGGGCGGCGCGGCGGACCTCCGGACGCTGCCAGACCCTGGAGACTCAAGGACGGGGCAGCGGACTCTGGAGGCTCTGGGCGGCGCGGCAGACCTCTGAACGCTGTGGGACTCCGGAGGCTCAGGGACGGGGGAGAGGGTGGGGGGGGGGGGGCGGACCTCTGAAGGCTCAGAGGTGGCGCGGCGGACTCTGAACGCTGTCGGACTCCGGAGGCTCAGGGACGGGGGTGAGGATGGGGGGGGGGGGGACCTCTGAAGGCTCAGCGGTGGCGCGACGGACCCTGGAGACTCGGGGGCAGGCGGCAAACCTCCGGTCGCTGCTGGGCCTCGGAGGCTCGGGGGGCGGGGCGGCCGACCTGAGACCGGTACGTCCTGGGCGCGGTCCACGTCGTGCGCCTAGTTTTGGCCTTCCTGCTAAGGGGCCGTTACGCTGATGACCGACAGGGCGGTGGACATTGTGACGTAATGTAACGTACCGTGTCGCACTCCATGGTGCATTTGAGCAGGCCCGCCGTGGGTTTTACTCACGTAGAATAAGTTTCTGGGAGAGTAGAAGTTTCTGGTGCAAATGTCACTGCTTATCTTGGGGTGGATGAAATACGAAACACACTGGGCTACCTTTCGAAGTTGTTCATAACTGGTACGTCCTTGACATGGTGTGCCTCTTACTGCAGATCCCCGTCCCAGTGAAGTACTCATACATTATGGTGTGGACCGCCTCTCGGACTAGCCACCCGTCTTCCAGTCCCGGGGGCCGGTATAGCTCTAGTTTGGCACGCTCATGTCGGGGGCTGTGCTGTTCCTGCCGCCATTGACCCAGTGACAAGCTGACGTCAGTTTGTTCCTGTCTCCCGTTGGACTGGTTTTGGCCATTCTGTGTCTCCACTGTGGGCGTGATTACTGCCGGTTAGCATGACACGATTGCGTAACGTCACGTCCCTTGGTATCAGCAGCGTTTCGCTGGTGTTGGGCGGTTTCTGCGATCGCCGTAGCTTCCTGCCACGTTATCGTGGTGGGCCGATCACGGCAGTGACGTCACCGCCGGTGCCGTTCCAGGCCCTGGACCTGTACAAGAGCATGGGCATCGACCACGAGCAACTGAAGCTGATCACGCCGCAGTTTGAGATGCCCATGCCACCGCTGCAGCCGGCCGTGAGTTCCTCGGCCACCCCAGACCTAGCGGGCGCGGCACACGCTCGCTGCGGCAGGGGTTTGTTCACGATTTGACGTCACACGCCGGCGTTTGGGCTCGATGTCGCGTCATGACGTCACACGCCGGCGTTTGGGCTCGATGTCGCGTCGTGACGTCACACGCCGGCGTTTGGGCTCGATGTCGCGTCATGACGTCACACGCTGGCGTTTGGGCTCGATGTCGCGTCATGACGTCACACGCTGGCGTTTGGGCTCGATGTCGCGTCATGACGTCACACGCTGGCGTTTGGGCTCGATGTCGCGTCATGACGTCACACGCCGGCGTTTGGGCTCGATGGCGCGTCATGACGTCACACGCCGGCGTTTGGGCTCGATGTCGCGTCATGACGTCACACGCCGGCGTTTGGGCTCGATGTCGCGTCATGACGTCACACGCCGGCGTTTGGGCTCGATGTCGCGTCATGACGTCACACGCCGGCGTTTGGGCTCGGTGTCGCGTCGTGACGTCACGCCATGACGCCGTGAAGACGTCGTACGCCCCGATGTGGTTGACTGCCTGCCGAATGCACGCGTCGTCGGGCAGTGAGTGTATGTGGCGTGGTACGCCCGCTCCGCCTGAGCGCGCACCCTCTCGTGAGCTGCTGCCTCCGGTGCTCGCGACGCCCCGGCGGAGCGGCCGCCGCCCAGCGCCGGTGTCTCCGGCGGCGGTGGCGACCCGCGGCTCGGCGTGCTGGGCGGCGGTCCTCCCGCGTACGAGCTCGGTATAACGGCCGCCTCTCCGCCGTCGGCTCACACACGGACCGGTGCGACGTCAGAGCCCGGGTGGCTGTACTGACCTGGTTGTGGCGTTAGATATCGCAGTGCTCTTCGCCAGCTGACAGTCGTGGTGTGACCTGGCGTCAGATTTTCCCGCCGTCGTTCCGTGACCTGGACCACCCGCCGCTGGAGCTGATCGACCTGGACGAGGCGTTCAGCGATAACAAGGCTCGCCTGGCGCAAGCGGCCAACAAGAGCGGCGACAGTGACATCGAGTTCTTCATCACAGAGTGCGGCGATGTCCTGGGTGAGCGCTCCTGCGCCGTCTTCAGAGGGGCTGTGTATATTGGAGGAGACGCTGTTCTATTGCGAGGCTACAGATCAAGAATATATTCGTTTTTCTGTAAGGAGGGAATTTGGCAAACTGCGCTTTAGGAGCTGGATGGGTATTGCCATGCGCGGTATCCACACCACTCGAAACTCTTGGGTGATCCGCGGTCTTTCCGTACTAGTGACCTTTCATGTTGTGGATTTATTTCAAGTGCAAGCAGCGAGTGGCACTGAGTTCAGAGTGCGTGTGGAGCGTGGCTTGCTGTGTGCCTTGAAGCGAACGTCAGTCAGGCCGAATAGTGGGCCCGCCTCGGGGCTTGCTCACGCTGCCGTGGAATGAGGAGTCTGGCATCTCTGCTCAAAGTCCACGGGGGTGGCGCAATTATTGTGCAACTTTAAGTTGTGAACAAGTCAGCTTCAGTCCAGCGATATGTCCGTAAAAGTGCGCGATAATGGTGCCCGTGGCTCGCCCAAACGTGGTCAATGAATTTACGCACACCTCACAGTGACGGGTGGGGAATGCTGGGAAAACTGTGTTGCAAATACGCCGGAACGGCCGATGATAAAAGATTTGGGTCAGGCGGGTCTCAGCAGGTGGTGAGGTGACCTATGCCTCACTTATCGTACCGTGCACACCGGCGGACATGAGACCGAGTCGGCAGCGGCCGGCGCCGGCGCGGCGCGGCGCGTAGGGCGTCCCTCTGACGGTGGCGCCGCTCGTCGGCCGTTTCAGGCATCACCTCGCGGCTGCCGCCCGAGGCGCGCTCGGCCCGACACATCCTGGAGCACGTGCTTTTCCAGCTGGCCGACTACCGCAAGCTGAATCAGGTGAGGGGGGCACCGTGCCTCGCCCCCGATCGTGTCAACGCACGCCAGAATCGCGGCCGAGGGGGGGGGGGGCATGACCAACGCTCGAGTGCCGTAGTGTTCCATGTTAACTGGCTGCATTGGCGCCGTCGCTGCAGCAAGAGACCGTGACGCCGTGATGGGTGAAAGACTTACGGGCGTCACGAAACAGTAGGTGCGCACATCCACGCATCGATAATGCCAGTATTCTAAGCGTCAAAGGCTGCATGTTGAGCGTGGCGCCGTCCTACCTGGCCGCCCACAGCCGGGTGACGCTGAGTACCGGGGACCGCCGCCGCCCCTGTCGGGCGCGGCACCGCCTCCAGCGGGGCAGGAGGTGCCGCAGGGGGACGAGGCGCCGCCGGAAGACGAGGCGCCACCGGAGGATGAGGCGCCACAGGACAAAGCACCGTCGGAGGACGAGGTACCAGCAGCGGAAGAGGCGGCCGAGTAACACCCCGACGGGAGCACCCGGGAGCTTCGGTCGGGCCGCGCCTAGCGCCCACCAGCCCGCCCGCGGTGACCCGGTATCCGCGGATCTGATCCGGTTCGCGTCCGCTCCGCCACGCGCGGTCCGCCGGATCGCGTGCTCCCGCCGTGGACACCGCGGCGCGCGAGCACACCCCGGACATCTGTTATGGTGGACAGCTGAGCAGGGCCCGCTTCGAAAGCCGCTCCTCTCAGACCTCGTTCAGGGCGACCCGAAGCCGTGGAGCGGGGACCGCACTGGATGTTGTCTGAGCCAGGCTCTCCGGACGCCCAGTGCCTCTAGCCGGTTGTTTCAACCTGGACGAGGAGTCACGCCAGCAGCCTACGCCAGACAGCGGGCCTGCTTCCGGTGTGACACTCCCGCGCGGAGCGGCAGCCCCGTTCAGACCACGAGTTGTAACGTACCGCGCCTTCCACAGGCGTGGCATCGCAGAATGGCGTGCGCTGCAGTTTTACTCGGTGTTGTTCTTGTCTTATGTATTTCTGTAGGCCGTTCGCAGCTGACTGACGCCGCGTTGAGAACAACTAATAAAAGCGTTCTCCGCTGACGCCTTCGCTGGCAGTGCCCTGGTGATCCGATACTGATGCCACCCCTGCAGCGTTTCCCCGCCTGCATCACGTGACGAGCACGCAGCTGCCCTAGCAGCGTGGGTGTTTCGTCAGAGCCTGTTTCTACTTGCTGGAACCAGAACGGCAAAGAGGAAGAAACAGATGCTGAGCGAGATCGTGAGCTTTTGCCCAGGTGAGGCGGGCAGGATCACTTCAATTAGCTTTCAGAGAGACAAAGGTAATCACACCATGTATCAAACAAAACAACACACGTACACATCGCTGCAACCAACCGACCACAGAGCGAAAGTAGATTCCACATCTGAGACGCGGTCGTCACGGCAACGGGACGGGTAAGACGTCGGGACCGCTGACACCGAGGTGACCCGTGCCACTGAGATGGTGGACAAGCCAAGAGCGCCCGAGCCAGAGGGAGTGTGGCGCTGGCAGACTGCTGTGCCGGGCCAGGCGAGGCCGCGGCACCGGCCCGAGCACACGCGATGCCAGCCCGCAGGGGACCGCCGCCCGCGCCGCCGATCCCCACCCGGGGCGACACGTCGGGCCGCCCTGAAGCCGCAGTGACAAGCCCATACGTGCAGTGCCCCTAGCCGCGGATCAGGCGGGACCGCGTCCGTTCCTCGACACGACCAAGCCGGGGCTGGCAGCCGCACACGCCGCTCGCCGCCGCCATCACGCCCCTGGAATCACCGCCTCACGCGCTCCCCGCGCCTGGAGGTGACGGTCTCTGGTGCAGCTGAGAGTCGCACCAGAGGAGCCGCCGAGCTCCGGCACCGCCGGCCCCGACCCTCCGCGGCCGGCTAAACACGTCCGCACCGCTGGCTGGCTATCACATGAAGTCGTCCGAGTCGTTGCCGGCGTCCATGTTGGAGGTCATGTTGGCCGACTGCATCAGGGAGTCGTAGCTCCTGTCGGCGAGGGGGATCAGCGGGCGGCGGGCATGTGACCGCACGAATCACAGCTTGACTGGCAGCCACTGATCACTTTTCTACACAGGCTTCCAATATTCCTGAGAAGAAGTCTTAAGTTAGGTTCTGTCCGTAAATGTCACCGATCCATAGTATTAAACGCAGCACATGTTTGCGAACAACTATCGTTATAATTACAACTACAGTTCATCGCCAATTGCGTCCGTTCGCAGCATTGTTCTTGAATCGCCACGTTTCAGTCATCATAGACTAAGTTCAGGCTCCGGCAACAGGCCAAGCAAGGTCGACAGCATTCAAAACACATGCACAATATAAAGGCAGGTTTTCATATGCACATATCGACACGATAATCGAAGCGACAACCCGTGACTTACCTCAGCTTGGCCTCCTCCTCCCTCTTCTTCTCCAGCACCTTTTCGATCTCCTGCTGCTTCTTGAACTCGGCCTTCTTCTCGTTCCGCTCCCGCCTGTCGCGCTCCTCGCGCTCGAACCGGAAGTCCGGCTTCTCCTCCCTCTTCGTCTTGTTCAGCCGGTTGACGATCTCGTTGATGCGCTTCTCCAGACGGATCTTGTACACCTGCCGGGACAAGTCGCCGCGTCAACAGCTTCAAGTGTTGTTCGCAGACAACTGTCGTTCCAAGATACGGCCCTACTCGGATGAAGGGACAACACAATAAAATGGTGGCGACAACCACCACCAGCTTGAAGACATATGCCGTGAACGAGTGGCGTGCACGACGCGGGCCGTCAGCGATCTGAAGCGTTATTCCCGGTCCAGCTGAAATTGAAATCCAAAAGTTTGGTACCGAATGACGTGTTTAATAGAATAACCGCATGACAGATTACATAGCTAATCGTTACGTTCCACCGGTGAGAGGGAAGGCGTTATTCTTAATTATTGAGTTTTAAGGGTGCGTCAACTGTATTGGTTATTTGCACCCCACGAAGGCCCCCAAACGGAAACCAACGCCTACTAAGGAAATCTTTTGATCGGTTTTAAGCGAGAAATGCCACTGGGTGTTCCGTTTTTTTTATCATTATGAGGCCCGAGTTCTTCCGCTGGCAGTAATCCAACCCTGGCATACCAAGAGGTACCGGTTAGAAGCCGTCATTGATCAAGATTATTGTGCCGTCAACACCCGATGGCTCAATCTGTCCTCATTGTCACGAGAGAAGAATGTTAAGCAAAAATCTAAATTGAGGCGTGAATACAAAAAAAAAATCCTCCGAAACTGTGAGGTTTCAAACCTTATGTTCTGCTCACGCCTGCCGAGCCCTAGCAATACACGAACGAATGTTTGCTTGATAACGTCGTCCAATCAGTGCCTCCCATAATATTACGATCCATTATTGACAGCATAACGACTGCAAGCTCAATGCCTTTGATCAGTCCCAGTATCCGCCTCAGTATGGAGACAATAATAATCTCATCAACTGCATGCGTCGCTAAATGGCCCTGCTATTCCCATTATTAAGCGTAGACCAGACCCGCTTCAAATGTGCTACAAGCACGCCAAAACCAAAGCCGTTTGCGTTAGAGAATGGCGTTGGACGGCTCCCCATACCAAACATCGCAGACCGCCCGCTGCGCGTCCCGTCCCGTGTCTGTAGCAGGTGGAAGAGAGCATGCAACCAGACAATTCATCTTCGTAGGAGCGACGGATCGCTGAAGCACCGGGCATGTCCCCACCCCCATCCCACACTTGCATTTCATTCATCTGCTCCCCACGGCGGCCGACCGGACTGACTTCTTGATCAGATGTCAATACATTGGGTTTGGGAGATATCCAGATATAGTACTTCCATCCGCCAATGGTGCGCGCCCAAAGCCAGATGCCCAGACCAAGTCCGGTTGGGCACAGTGTCACTACTGGATGGACACAGAACGCCACGCGGATGCAGACGTTCGCCCATCCAGACTGTAACTCACCTCCTTGTCCTTGAAGAAGCTGACCTGACCCGGCTCCATGCCTGGCGTTTTCTTCAGGTTGGACCACATGGTGTAGATGACGTCCACATTGTTCATCTTGTTGCCCGTGATGCTGTTGGCCTTGCACAACTGGGCGCAGTCTTCGATGGTCGCCTTTGGAATGGTTTCGATTGTTTCACCCTGAAAGCGGTAGGGTCGGCTAAAACACAGAGCGAGGTCGCAGAAACTGTTCCAAACACGCCACCTCCCGACCATAAAACACACGCATGGGATTGCACATGGTCGCGATCGTAACAACACATCAATCAGATTGGCACATCCACTCCTAGACACCTGACGCGCTGCCACTCCCTGCTTCAGTGTCCGGACCACCGGCGTTCCCCTCGCGTAAGGCGCGGACCGGGATCGCACTGGTGCCCCGTGCCCCCAGCAGCAGCCCCGTTCGGCGCTCACCGGCTTGAGGCGCAGGTAGACGTGGGCCGAGGAGACCTTGTCGACATGAAACCACACGTCCTCCGGCCAACCCCAGCGGATCAGCTCCTCATCTGGAGAGGGTGCGTCACAGGTCACAGGTCAGGTCAAAGGTTATCAGTCACGTTATATGATGCAGTCGCATCACAGATCGGTAGTTGGGTCAAGGTCAAAACGTGGGGTACAAGTCAGCAGTCGGAACACAGGTTATCAGCCAAGTAGTAGGTCACGGGTCAGGTCCAAAGTAATTAGTCACATTATATGATGCAGTCGCATCACAGGTCAGTAGCTGGGTCAACTTCAGAAGCTAGGGTACATGTCAACATGTCAACAAAAATCAGGACACAGGTAACCAGACAATTGGCACGTGTCACCAGCCCGGCCAGGTCACCAGCCAGGCCAGGCCACCAGCCGGGTCAGGTCACTGATCCAGGCATAGGTGTCCCGCGAGGTCAGAGGTTATCAGCCGGTTCGTAGGTCAGAAACCGAGTCGAAGTCATCAGACTGTCACAGATCAGCTGGGTTGCACGGTCCCCAGCTGGGTCGCAGGTCACTGGTCCAGTCACGAGCGGCCAACCCGGATCCAGTGGTGATCCCGCACAGATCACTCGCCCGAGTGGCGACTCGATGACCCTGATGGCTATCCGCGATCCGTGCGTAACAAGATACACACATACATGCATAACGTAACAGCAAATCGCCTCGAACAGCTGAGAAAAAACAGCAGATACCTGAGAAAACCCTACGGTATGCGGAAACAAGTCCTTCGCAAGCTGACTGACAAATAATTAGACGCGTCAAACACACCAAAAAAAAATAATAAATCGCGAACGTCACACACGTTCCATAAATTTGGCATACGCATGCGTCCATACTTTCGTACTTACTCTCATACTTGTCAAATCCCATAAACAGCGTGGTTGGAGGGTCCGACACTGCAACAGAGAATAGCTCCATGTGAAAAGCGCCAGTGAGGACCCGTAGAAATATTTGACTGCGTTACTTAGACACCAAAATATCTCATATGTTATAGGACCAACATTCCCAGGTTTATATATCCGCAGACGGCTACTATAACATAATCACTTGTAGGAAAATCAATCACAATGAATGTTACGTACGACTCAACAAACGTTTAACGTAACCACACTTTCAACGGGCACCGCTATCGAATTGCTGTCCGCAGTTTCACACGGACTCCCGCCGTCGTTATTTTGTATTTCGAAGAGTTATGAGCGGCATCCGGTGCCAACGCGGCGGAACGTACGCAACGGGCCAGTGCGTCACGTCGCGCTGAAGTGTCTGAACGTACGTGACGGGCCAGTGTGTCACGTCGCGCTGAAGTGTCTGAGCGTACATGACGGGCCAGTGTGTCACGTCGCGCTGAAGTGTCTGAACGTACGTGACGGGCCAGTGTGTCACGTCGCGCTGAAGTGTCTGAACGTACGTGACGGGCCAGTGTGTCACGTCGCGCTGAAGTGTCTGAACGTACGTGACGGGCCAGTGTGTCACGTCGCGCTGAAGTGTCTGAACGTACGTGACGGGCCAGTGTGTCACGTCGCGCTGAAGTGTCTGAAGATTCAGTGGGCAGTACTTTGCCTGCGGTTATGATGAGTTCTCAAAACATGACGTGCCATGAGACTGCACCATTCAACGACGGACAAAGCTTATGAGGCAATTTCTCTACACTCAAGTCTTACATTAAACCCACGAGCATCTAAGGTAGGCGGACTCGCTAGCCATGTGACCCTGCATAATTCAGTTGCATCTCCAGATGTACAGCCATATCTGGTAGTCAAGAAACTAACCAAGGCAAGTCACGACCTGACGTTATCACTAATATGACGTGCAGCACAAACCTGGACTAACACATATACATCCTCTGGTCTCCAACAAACGTGGACAAGTTACAGCACACAATTCCGAGACAATGGAAGAAACATAGAAAAACAGCCCCATAACACACCGGATGATGAATGAGTAAAAGGGAACTCGCTGGGGAAAATAACTGCAACCAAATCGTGTTAAGTGCATTGCAGCCGGGCAATATCGGTCAAAGGTACTGTTGAAGATAAAGCTGACGATGACAATGATTTTAAAGGAAAAAATACCTACAATTTCAGTTGAGTTAGTGAACAATTTGAGTTCACTATCACTGAAGCATATGGGCAGCACTCCACTCTTCATATTCACCATTATGAAGAGGGGGAAAAGTTGTGACAACTCAACATTTCAGGTAGATTTGGCCATATGCATATTAATACGAACGCACATCTACTACCCTGTGTAACGGAAGAAACGACTCGCAGCACAGCATTCCTACTTTTGAAACACACGCACTACCACGCACCACCTTTACCACGCACACGCACACATTTGGAATAGGGCACACTAGTGTGGTGTGGCATTTTCACATTTCAGTACCATTTGATGTAAAGTAGTAGACCATGATTTGCTCTTGTTATGCCGATTCTTCACACTTGCTCCAGCAAGGCAAATCCCGTCACAAACAAGTGACTTCTTGAAATGTTGGCAACGGCATCAACACATCTTAACACACCTGAGGTAGTCAGAAAAAATGGTTATAACTTAAATGGCCAAGGTTTTTACATCACCAAGCACATTAAAGGGTGCATTCCACACTTGTATGGGGTCTTTAACTGAAATAGCCACCTTGGGGTTTCTTTCATGCAGTTCACAGCCCTACCCGTCTTAAGACCTAAACGCTTCTCGCTCCTGAGCTACACGCCCGCAAGAAGTGCACACCATCTCGGAGAGACTAATTCAAGGTGGTTCACGCATCCACGCCACAATAATGTCATCCAAATCCTGTCATTTGATTGGCCATGTGCAAATCAATGCAAAAATATAACTAATGACTCACTTCATATATCTGGCGTTCTTGAGCACGATTTCCAGACATAACAGCCGTCAATTGACTCTTGATCAATGTTGTGCAGGTTATGATAACGTAATCAAATGATGATGCAATCAGGAGCATATATACTTAACAGAGAAACTGTACCACCTAGAGCAGTGTTTTCCACTTAAAAGTATGCCAATGGTTATGAGCGGGCTAATTCCACCATGTCTGAAGCTTGCTTTAATAGCTTCAAAATCTGGAACATTTTCTTTGGACACCACCAGCCCCCAGCACCCTGATGGGGGAGGGGGGGGGGGGCTTTGTCACTTAAATGCCCCATCTGACAGGACTTGTTGCTGTCCTTTGTTGTGTGGGCGTGGGTGCTTTAAAGGATGCCAATGGCTGACTACCTTGTGGCCACAACCATGGTTTTAAATTTATGACATATATTTGTCACCCAAAATATGGTGACTGCAAGAAAAAAGCAAAAAAAAAAACCTTACTCAAGCACACATGATAAAACACCAGAATGCTGTGTAGGTTGAGTAATGTACTATCCTCATGTGATACAAATGCCCAAGCAAAATGCGGGCATGAGTAGATCATGCCCAAGGGGTACAGGTGCACCTTGGGCATTGGGGTATGTCCTTACAAGAAAGCATGTGCTCTTGAGTCCCATGCATGCGTGAAATATGCAGCCTTCAGAGCGCATCTTTCTCTAACCCAATTCAAACATGGCATGAAGGTGTGTGCACAGCCACCACAACACTTTATGTCATGTAAGGGTATCTGATGGGGTTGGTATGACACACAGGGTTGAACAAGGCTGACCCACTTGTTGGCACCAGTTTTACATGGCTTTGTGAAGGTCTGTGCAGCACAACTGGCACAAGCCAAAGAAACTAGTACTCACTTGACAGGGTTAGTGCCAGGGCATCAAAGTGCATTCCACAGTCTGACATAATACTGACCTTCAATCAAAGGTGTGAGCAAAATATTTTCATACACAGGAATTGGCACACCACAACATATCTACTAACAGTAATATGGGACCTTGCCTCCAAGGTATTGAACTGGCATTTAGAACTGCCCGGAGTTCTTGTCTCTTTTTTGTTAGAGCAAGTGCTCCTTATTTATATTGGGTGTTGAACTGAAAAAGTGACCTTAAATACCATTCAGTACAGTTCACACCTCTGGTCTTCAAAGACATAAAACCCTCTAGTTTCTACTCCACATTCCTGCAAAAATGTGCAGACCATTTCAAGGCTACCCACACATCCAAGACACCATAACTGGTTCAAACTGTGTTTTTCCTAAGTCATTTTCATGGATTCTTGTTACCTTGGCCCAGTACATTTTTATGGTTCTTGATGCTGCTTGATGCGCAGTAATGTTGTGACCGTGCGCAGTAGTGGCGCCAGTGTCGCAGATGATGTGTGTGCGTGCGGAGCTCAGGAGCTCACTATCGTAATTATAAAAAAATTTGGAGGTAAGAGCATGAATCTACCTGTTTTGTGATTACTTATGATATGTCCTGCCTTAACACGACGCATGGTGTACAATGATTTTTTCTAACGTTAGGTAGGAAAGTACACCCTGACCGTTAAAGCCTATTAAATCCCAATGTTGATAAATCCATCCAAGCCTGCACATACCACTTCACTGTTAACAAGCCCCTCACCCCATAAGTTACAATAACTTCTCCCTGAATTCTTTGTCCATATCAGCATTCCCAGTGCTGGAAAGCTGGACATTTCCTGGTATAATGTGTACCAGGTGATTTTGTACCCCAGGATCGTGACTAGGTAAAATGAACTATTTTGTGCTCCATCAGGATGCAATAGGAACAGGTTTTGGAAAAACTCATTTTACCTCTTTGTGTCCGGACGAAATAAAACCAGAAGGTGCAACGGCTTGAGACTTGCTGCTCCAATCAGGAGCTATGTATTGATATCTGTAGGAGCACAAATCTTGCACCCAACAGACTAAGATGCCCAATAGCAAGCAGCCTGTGTTGCTACTTGAGCATATGATAAACCACGTATGGAAATGTGAAAAATAAAGTGTGAATGTTGAATGGAATCGCCTTTGAACAATGCCGGGAAATGAGAAACGAGTACCAGAATCGCACCAGTCTGTAGATTAGCAAAGCTCTCACTTCCGGTGCCCTACGCATACCAACTCAGACTTGAACATGACCTAACCTACCATTGGCAACGAACCGCATTAATTGCCAAGGATGCAACACACATTCGCAGAAAACCGTTCGCCCCACCACCTACCACAGACTGCCGCCTACCCACGCGCCCCCCACTGCGTCATGGCAATGCAAAGGTCATCACTCGCAATTCAGCGTCGGAAACGTCTCAACTATTCAGCGGCTTGCGCCCGCCTCCCAGCTCAGGTTGGAGGTTGAACATAGCAAAACTCTCCAATTGGTTTTAGTGATTCGCCTTCTCGTGACTGATTTGTCAAGGGCATAAATATTCTCCTCGCGCTCATGCCGTGAACAGATTGGTGTATCTTTGGAGGGAAGCTGTATAGAGATGGCCATCACGATTATAACGGACTTATTTGTACTCATCCAGAACCGCCATGTGGTTGGATTTTTGGCCACTTGCTGGTATCCGGAGCACAAAAATGCTACGGCAGCTGGGGATTTCAACCAAGTTAAATGTGTCACTTAAGGATATGAAATTAAAGCTGGTAATTCAGGCTTTACAAAAATACTCTTTTTAGTAAAAAAACATTGCTATAAATAGCCAAAAAACTGTTCGTAGACAGCAATCTAACTCCGGCAAAAACACCAGGACACCAGAGTAACACGAACCCATAACTTAGTTCCGGCAAATTAAGGAGAGAGGTTTATTGGGACAAAAACATCAATAAATTGTGACATAAGTTATCATATTTGCAATGATATTGGTTAATCGCATAAAATCATCAAAATAATCATCAAAGTCCATAAATACCTTGCAATATCTGCCGGAGTCAGCGAAGTGACTGACTCCGGTCCCTTTTTGCCGGCGTACACCGGTCTGTCAGGCATTGTACTTGCGCAGGCTGGGTGAATCGGCTAAGATTGCTGCCTGTCTCTATTGTTCGGGTGGGACGTGCAGGGCTTCGTGTGCTGACCGGGAGTGGGAAGGCGGAGGGCATGAATGTTTAGCTGTTTTTAAAACCAGCTAGCTGGTGGAGCGTGAGTAGCGTGACCGTGGTGGAACATGAGTAGGTGGCCATCTGTGGCATGTTCATTTGCATTCCTTGTGTACCATTTTTGTCTGGCTGTGCCCGTACCGTGTGCGTGTACGTATCGTACTCACCCTCCGTCTTGGAGGGTGTATAAGCCCAGTGCGTAGTCACCCCTCCATTTTGGAGTGTATAAACCTGATGCGTAATTATCCTCCGTTTTGGAGGGTGTATACACAGAGCCTTTCATAAATCGCAAACCAATGTATGTGTACATGTGTTTCATAGTAGAGTATGAGACTGTGTGGTTTCAGTTTGCCAAGTTTAATACTGATGTTTATTTCATTTAAAGTGCATTTACATGAATTCCTGTAAATGAAAAGTGGCGCTTTTGTTGAGTGCCACTCATTGTACTATTACCTCTCAAAGATAACCTAAATAAAGCTGTAATGACCCACAGTACTTGGATAATTTTGTACTCCACTAGAAAATTTGTACTCGGTGACCAGGAAATTTTTTTTTCGAATTTCCAGCACTGAGCGCTCCAGTGACATTTCTAGTCACACCTTTACAGCGCAGCAATCTCAAGTTGCACTGTTTCCATTTCCCCGTCGGGACCAGCTGCTCACATGGCACCGACTTTATCTTCAATCTGAGATCCAATTGGAGATCTGTTTCCCCGATTGCAATTCCTGCAACCACCAAAGCATTCAACAGATAGGCAAAAGGCAGTAATTACAACGTTGCCGAGAACCTCCAAGCACTGAACCCGGGCGATCAAGACAATGACTTGGACCTCCCGAATCACGCCTGCAATCATACGTCCGTCAATCTAGCGGCAGATTGATATCCAACTGCCAGTTGGATATTCCGGGGCGTCACGATCGCCTCACGTCCGTCAATCTAGCAGCAGATTGATATCCAACTGACAGTTGGATATTCTGAGGCGTCACGATCGCCCCAAAATTTGGTGTGCACGACTTTCTTGACACGCTGATTCCGAAAATCAGGGCCTTTGGGGTGGGATTTTGCGTAATTTTCAAGATATATAACGCGTAACATCCCAATGTGATATTGGGGGCGTCTCGATTACCTCCAAAAGTGGTGTGCAGGGCCTTCTCAACACGCTGATTCCGAAAAGTACTGCCTTTGGGGTGGGATTTTGCGTAATTTCCGAATTATACGACGCGTAACAACCCAGTTGGATATAGCGGGGCGTCTCGATTGCCTCCAGACTTAGTGTGGAGCGCCTCCTCTGCACGCTGATTTCGAAAAGCATTGACATTGTGGTAGAATTTTAGCGTAACATTGGATTAAAATGGCGTAGAATGTGACAGTTTTATATTGCTACCTTACTGGCAGTGAAGCAGCTGGATATTAATGTTGTCAAAGTAGATGTTTCTCCTTACTTGCCCACGAGCATGCTGCTCTTCTTTTAAAATTTGTTAAGGATGAGGAAGTGCAGTACCGTGGGTTGTAGGAATGTGTTGGTATTACTTGTAATGAACAACGGCATTTTTATACATGGAATTGTACGGGGCAATCTGATTTTTTGACACTGTTGGACGGACAGCTGATCCGTTCTCGTGCTTTCGATTGGAATTTGAACAATCGTTCCCGGAAAAACGTCTGGTCAGGAAATATCATCTCACCATTACACAAATGCAAAGTGATCGTTCTCGCTGCCGCTGCTTTTGATTCTTATAACAGTACTCAAGCGAATCCGTGGGTCCGTGAAAAGCCGACTACTTTGCGATTTGAATCAAGTTTAAATTTTGTTTTCTGCAATTTGTGCACATGCGAAGTGTATTTTACGTTACAAACAACATCCTAGAAAAGTTTGACTTCATTACATTTTCGGCATGTGGAAATGACCATACGACACAAGCTTGAATATTACCTAGGCACATCGGATCTCACAATAAATTAGTTTTAAGACGCCATTTTGAAGGCTACCATCACTTGCTTCTTTCGCGCATACAATTCTTGTTATTCTTGGCGTCACACACGCCGCGCTCCTGCCAGGTTTGATGCACCGTGGCACGCTTATCCTGCCACACATATTCGCCGCTAGCCAGCCAGTCATCTCGCATGACGGCCATCACAGGAGTACGAACGCACGACGGGCAATGTCAGTAAAAACGGAGGAAGAGAATCATCAACGGTATATGGCTGCAGCCCCAGTTCGTTTCCATTCCCAGTCTAATCCACTGCGTGAAGCAGTGCGGGCAACAAAATCGATCAGTGACGCGTGAGGACGAGGCTGGTTGCCGTCAGCACCTAGGTAAGGACAGGGTCGGTGGCAACTAGCGCCCGGCGCCGCACGTCGTGTGCAGTCTCATGCTTCGGCATGCAGCCGGCTATCAGCTGCTCGGGCCCTCCGGCCACCGGTGTGTCGCCACCGCCGTCCGGCCGACTCGCGTAGTGCAGCGTCTCCACCACGATTCGCAGCAGCGGGCTGATGTGGCCGGCCAGCAAGATGGGCAAGGCGTGCACAAGGAGCATGCGATGCTTCACCAGCGACACCAGCGTCCTTGAGAGATAAGACAGACGGTGACATCACCCAAATCTTCAGGCTCCAGCGGTGAAGCATTGGTGTCGTCACAAGCGACATCTTGTCAGTTTTTGGTCTGGACAAACAACGGCAGTGACTACCGTCGTACTATTACTCCACCACCTTAAAGGTCAGGAACGAAACAAAGCTGACAAGAATGCTACAGCCATACCACCATGCTAATGATATCACATACCACACGGTTATCACTCACATATCGCGAACTGACCTCCAGTGAACTGATACGGACAGGCCCAAACGCGGGGGCTGGGGGAAAAAAACTCGGAAATTCCAGGGCACATCCAAAGCACATTGAAGCCTGGCTTCCCCAGCACGCATCTACCAACTATGCATATGTCTATCCCCTCCAGTGAATATAATATCAACTTATGCACCAGTAAGCTCGTCTACATTCAAAACTAGACCCACAAAGATCAATCGCGTTTTCACCCTGAAAAGAGAAGGCAGAGAAGGCACATGTCAGCTCGCCTGATCCCGTGTTGTCTCGCGGCCTCTGGAAAATGTTAGTCTCCGAGCCGTCGTGGTCGGCTGCCGCCGTGGCCAGCAGCTGGCCGAACACCACCAGCTCTACCATCAGCACGCGCGTCAGCAGAATCATGTGAACCAGCATCACCATGGGGAACGGCTTGCCAGGCGCCTGCGCCCTCGGCACGGCCGGTGCCAGACCCGGGATCGGGCTGACAGCTGTGAACACGACAGTGCCCGTCAGAACAGTGATCGGTGCAGGCGTCGCGACGAGACGGTCTTCAACGACATCGAGTCTTACAAAACATCGCCTGTTACAATACATAACTTATTAGCCGGCCAGGCCACCAAAACGTGAAATATTATCATTTTGTACCATTTGCATTGCGCCGTAACATCAGCTAAAAATAGATAATTATGCAAACATCACCACGTGGTACGCACATCGTGTTGAACGCATCTAAATTGAGACCAAAGCTTAGCAGAATTCTGCAGCATGAAGACCGCATACAACAGCGTAGCGAAAGACATCGAATTAATTCAGCAAGTGACACAACCACTCTTACGTGTCACTAGTGAGCGATATCTTAGCAAGATATAACCATATTAAATATTCGGTAGACACCTGATAGCAGCCACAGCAAGCTTGGAACAGTTCAAATTGCCACCACACACACTTGACGGCCTGTTCTCAGCGGCGGCAAGGAAAATGGTGAAAGCATTCACAGTGCTATGCACCGCTTCTAAAGGCCACTTTTTAAAAATAAATTTATTCCGAAAGGTTTGCAAGGGTGGCTGGGTTCACAGAACCTGCTAAGCATAGTTTGTTCCGTGCACCCTGAACGCACCATCCAAGTCGTACCGCCCAGGTCTGATTTTCGGGGTCAGCGTGTTGAAAAGGCCATGCACACCAAATCTGGAGGCAATCGAGACGTCCCGCAATATCCAACTGGGGTGTTACGCGTCGTATAACTCGGAAGTTACGCAAAATCCCACCCAAAAGACACTGATTTTTGGGATCAGCGTGTTCAGAAGACCCTGCACACCAAATCTGAAGGTAATCGAAACGCCCCACAATATCCAACTGGGTGTTACGCGTCGTATAACTCGGAAGTTACGCAAAATCCCACCCCAAAGACACCGATTTTCGGAATCAGCTCATTGAGAAGGCCCTGCACACAAAATTTGGAGACAATCAAGTATCACAGTGGGGTGTTACGCGTCGTATAACTCGGACGTTACAAAAAATCCCACCTCAAAGACAGATATTTTAGAAATCAGCGTGTCGAGAAGGTCATGCTCACCAAATTTAAGGGATCGTGACGCCCCGGAATATCGAACTGGCACTTGGATGTCGATCTGCTGCTAGATTGACGGACGTCCAAAAATCGCTGTTTTTGGGGTGGGATTTTGCGTCACTTCCGAGTTATACGACACGTAACACCGCAGTTGGATAATGCACGGCGTCTCGATCGGCTCAGAATTTGGTGTGCAGGGCCTTCTCAACACGCTGATTACGAAAATCACTGTCTTTGGGGTGCGATTTTGCGTAACTTTCGAGTTACAACGCGCGTAACAATCCAGTTTGATAATGCGAGGCGTCTCGATTGTCTTCAAATTTGGTATGCAGGGCTTTCTGAACACACTTATTCCGAGAATCGGTGTCTTGGAGCGGATTTTGCGTAACTTCCGAGTTATGCATTATGTACGTACATTATGTTTAGAGTTATATTAGCACATACTGAACCGATTGCTGCCAAACTTTCATTAGTGCATAATGGGATGCGACATACCTGACGTGAACGCCCTCTACGCCAAATTTCGAGGTAATCAAGAGGTCTTGCAACGTCGATCTGGCGATGTAACGCTTGGTGTAACTAGCAACTTATGCAAAATCACACCCCAACGACAGTGATTTTTTAAATAAGCGCGTTGAGAAGGCCATGCACACCAAGTTTTCAGGCAATGAAGACGCCCCGCAATATTTCACTGGGGTGTTACGTGTCATGTAACTCGGAAATCACGCAAAATCCCACCCCAGGAACGATGACTGTTGGCATCAGCGTGTTGAGAGGACTCTGCACACCAAATTTGGAGGCAATCGAAATGCCCGCAATATGCAACTGGGGTATTACGCGTCGCATGACTCGAATATTACGCAAAATACTACTCCAAAGGCAATGCTTTTCGGAATATTGGTGTTGAGAAAGCCCCGTGCACCAAATTTGGAGGCAATTAAAACTCCTCTGAAACTGAATCTGAAATCTGAATCTGAATCTGAAACTGAATCCTCCGGGATGGAAGCCTCCTGATTAAAACAAAAAACCAGAACCAAACTGAAAAAAACTTCTGAATGCATCATCACTGGTGGGAGAGGAGTGTGAGGTCTGCCGTGATCCCAAACTAAATATTAGCAAAGGCACTATACATGGCTATGACCTAGTGGACCTCACTGAGGATGAGATCTTTCACTGGTTTAAGGAGTTTGGTGTGGTGGGAGCAAAGAGGTTTACAAAGAAGGTGGGAGGAAGGGTTGAGAATACCCCTACCATACTTCTCACATTTGGTGTACCAACTTGCTCCCCAAAGCTTGAACTGGACTACATAACTTATCATGTCAAAAAGCAGGTGCCCAACCCATTAATTTGCTACAAATGTGGTAAATATGGGCCCCCGGAAGGAAGGTGCACAAATGACCAAAGGTGCCTGAAGTGTGGTGAGCATATGCATGAGGGCGAATGTGAGGCAAATTGCATGAGTTGTGGTGCGGCAGGGCACACTTGTCTGTCACATGAGTGCCCTGTGCCGTGCTTACGTGAAGCAACGGGGCTTTGAGAGCTTCGCCTATCGTTACATTACAGGTCGAAGCAGATATTCTTCCACTTCGATTGCGACGACATGAATTGACAATAAGATACTGCATGAAGGCACGAGGCGAGGACAATCATCCGTGCCAGAGGCTTACCACTGAAACGGCTTCTTTACAGCAAGTGGAAAGAGAATATATGAAAAGAATATCTGGTTTTCCACTGTACGAAAGAATGACAAGCATATGTAATGAAATAGAACTCGACTTCCCTCATAACTTAGAGACAAAGGAAGCTTCCACACCACCTTGGAAGCTACGCAAATGTGAAACCAAAAAACTGACAAATGAAAATAAGAGAGCTCTGAATGTACGTCAAATTCAAAATGACTTTTGTGAACTAAGAACGGATACCTCTGCCTTTACTTATATTTTTAAGGACGGTTCAAAAACTACTGAGGGAGTCGGCGGTGCCTACGACCACTCAGAACGCTATACTCGATTTAAACTGCCAGGAAAATGTTCAGTGTTTATTGCTGAAGCCAGTGGCTATATCTCAGGCAATGAAATATGTGGAAACCAAGGGTATACCGAAATGTGTAATATGCACTGATTCTTTGTCGGTGGTCACTGCACTAAAAAATTATACTTCTAACCATCCGGTGATGATAAATATTTTTGAAACCTCGCACCGTTTACTAGAAAAAGGATTCGAGATTAAAATCATGTGGATTCCAGGTCACTGTGGTATAGTAGGAAACGAAATAGCAGATGCGCAGGCAAAGGCGGCAGTGCTGTTAAACGAAATACTTGAAACCCAAATAGGCTACAGAGAGTACTTGCCGATTTTGCACTCTGCTATAAGAAATTCTTTCAGCAAAACCTGGCATAGGCACGGACCCCTTACAACAATGAAAACAGCAAAAGAGAACATAGGACGATGGGACTCCTCAACGAGGATCAACCGGCGCGAAGAAATCATCCTATGCCGACTACGACTAGGACACACAAGATATACCCATTCGTTCCTTATGGATCGAGAACCAAGACCTACCTGTGAGAACTGTGTGTGCCCTCGAACAGTACGACATATGTTAGTGGAATGCCCATTATTTGCAGCGTCAGCGACGACGTATTGTGGAAATCTGTAACAAACTATGGAACGCCACTTTGTATGAAATCGCTAATTGGCAATGATTATCCAGTTCTTATTAACGAAGTGTTTACATTCTTACGCCTTTGCAAGCTTTTGAAAGAGCTATAGTGCTAGTGCATGTTTCTGCGTGCGCATGTATGACAAACCTGAGACTTGTAAGTGTGCTCTATCGTGTGTATGCATGCGTTTTTCTTTTTGTTTTTCCTTTTGATCCACTACGTAATAGTGGCTACTGTTTGTACCGTTCGCCATTATTTGAATTTCAATGCGAGGTCACAAATATGCTCAAGTCTTGTGAGGCATCGTAATTGGTGGACGGTGGTATGAAAGCAGTGATTGATTCATGTTTTTGTGTACGTGTGTGTGTCTGTGTGTGTATGTTTGTGTGTGTGGTCATGTGCGTGTGTGAGCTCGCTTCTATTTTTATTATTTTGCCATAACTTTATGTTGCTTTGTAGTTTAGCATTAACAGGGGATACCCCGTAGCGAGGCGAAAAACGATGAAAGACCGGCGACCAACTCGCCGGGCTGAGCGAACCATAAGGATAGACGCGAACTGATTGATAATGTAGCAATATCTAGATATTTAAATGGACGCATGGAGAGCAGATTCTGCGCCAGAGTGTAAAAAAACAAACGTGCGCGCCACCGCGGTCCATGTCGTGTCGTGTGTCACTGGAATTGCGAGATCTTGTGCTATTGTTTGAGTGTGGGACAAACGAGGTGATCGAGGAGACCAGGCCTGTTGATGCAAATGAATAGCTTACTTGCACGTAGATACAGTGACTCACAATCTGTAGCTGGAGATATTATTGACTACTGAGGAATAATACATCCTTTGCACCACGATCCATCCTGTGGCTAAGTCTCTTCATATTCCTCTACCATGCTTAGTCTCCGCAGTATTCCCCCCCCCCTCCAAAGAAAAAAGCTGCAAGGAAAATCAGAATACAAAAGGGACGCAACGAAGACAACTGAAACGGACGCTTGAGCCCAGGAGGCTCTGCGCCCTAATCCAAGACAAGACAAGACACAAGTGAAATTTCAATCGCAAGTTGTTGAAAGTTGTTTAGGTGGCATTTGTTGTGGCACTGATGACCGGATGATGTGCCAGCTCTGCTGTTTCATGTCAATGGTAACAACACCCGTGAGATTAATGCGCAGATGATACAAAAATTAGCACTGTCTTGGTGTTCATGGTCCATCCTGTCGCCTTGGCGTGGCCTCGCGTATTAAACTTGAAGGCGCTTTTAATAATGCGACGGCCTTTGTGCATATACATACATATAGCAATGGCCTTTCAGTGAAAGTGGAGATCAAGAATCCCCAAGAGTGATTTTGTGTGCATACATTGATTTGTATCAGCACTGATTGCAATCTGAGAATGGGTAGCTCAACATCCTCACTTTCTCTTGGAGTAAGAGGTAAGGAGATATTTACTTTGCATCTTGATTCAGCATCAGCAGAGGCTTTCCCAAGTCATGTTCAAAGTGCATAAATGGAACCCAGATTCAGGGCAGTACCACATGGGAGACAAGCTGTTATATGAATACTATATCAGTAGGTGAGGCATAGGGTCAGGGTGTACTTTCCTACCTGATGTTAGAAGAAATCATTGTACACCATTCATTGTGTTTAAGGCAGGACATATTGTAAATAATCACAAAACAGGTAGATTCATGCACTTGCCTTCAAATTTTTTATAATTATGATGGTGAGCTCCCGAGCGCTGCGCACACACACCAGCCGCGACACTGGCGCCATTACTGAGCGCGGTCACGACATTACTGCGCATCAAGCAGCATCAAGAACCAAAAAAATTATGGGGCCAAGGTAACAAGAATCCATGAAATTTGAACCTCAATGCGGGGATTGGATGGGGCATGTAAAGCAAAGTGAGAACATGGTGCTAAATAAAAGCTCGCTATATAGCACCTATATATGGCATGGAACATGGGTGCCAATGGGACACTGGGTTGAAGGGGATATAGGGTGGGGAGGTTAGGTTAGGTTAGGTTAGGTTAGGTTAGGTTAGGTTAGGTTAGGTTAGGTTAGGTTAGGTTAGGTTAGGTTAGGTTAGGTTAGGTTAGGTTAGGTTAGGTTAGGTCACATTAGGTTAGGCTAGGTTAGCTTAGCTTAGCTTAGCTTAGCTTAGCTTAGCTTAGCTTAGCTTAGCTTAGCTTAGCTTAGCTTAGGTTCTGGTCTATTCTCAGTTAGGTTAGGTTAGGTCAGGTCAAGTTGGCGCTGGGGAGTCCAGGCGGTGTGGTGCGCGCGGCGCTCGGGAGCTCGCCATCGTAGTTATTGAAATTCAAAGGTAGGAGCACGATTCTACCTGTTTCGATTACGATATGTGCGGCCTTAAACACGATGAATGGTGCGCAGTGTTTTTTTCTAACATTAGGTAGGAAAGTACACCTACACCGGTTGAGAAAATCTTAGCTGAATTATCACCATAATTGAAAGTGGTCAGTTTCACCCTGCCTGTATATGAATTTGCTTTATTCTAGAGGTAAACCCAACTTGCCTGGGGGTCTGTGTTAATTCTGCAATCATCTTTTGTGTTGATCTGACCACTACAGTGTTCCTAAATCATGTCTTACCATATTCCATTTGTGCTACTGGGAGCTAAAAAAAAGGTTTTGTTAATATTTAAAGGACTGAAAGTTGATCCAGAGTTCAGCATGTACTTGTTGGAAATAGCAGTAATTTTGTATAATAAAGTTATGACACAGCTAGCCAGTTGAGTAACTGGACCAGTTGAGTCATCTATCTTTTGGTGTTGTCTTCTGCAAATTGCCTGTCCTCATTACTTTGTGACTTGTTCATTCTGCTGTCCACCAGCTTCTTCAGCTCACTCAGCAGCCACAGCTACAAACAATGTGTCAGCTCTGCTGTTTCATCCTGTGCATGGTGACAACATCCGTCTGTCAGAGGGTGGCCAGCGGGCCTGTAGAGTCCGCTCCTACTGCCATGGCATTGTCTTTAGCAGTCGACCTGTGGCTGTCAATGAACAGGTAGGTGATGCAAATGATGTCTCGCCTTTGTGTGCCTGGTGGGCATGTTTTCCCTTTGGATGCAATTTCCACTGCCTGCTGAACTTGTTTTTCAGAGGTTTGTCATCATATTGATACTAATGGCATGTAAGCTTATTTCCTTCAATGTCAGCAGGGGCATTAGGCAGAGAGCTTCCTGCCTGTTTCATTTCAGTGCAATCATCTGTGCCCTCAACCAAAAATTGCACCCCATGCTGGTAGTTGATTCTGACTAGTGTGTGTGCACGTGTGGCAAGGGGGCAGTTCATGCAGGCCTCAGATGGATGGAGCAGCATGGTGTGGTCTGACTTCACCTGGCCTGGTTGGTGTCTATTTGTCTCAGGTGGCAGTGGAGGTGGTGCAGGTGTCAGACCAGTGGAGTGGTGTGGTTCGGCTCGGCTTCACCTCGGTCGATCCCCGCACCCTCGCTGGCTGTCTGCCCAAGTATGCCTGTCCAGGTCAGGTCACAGCCCAAGTAGGCCTGTCCAGATCAGGTCACGGCTACTGCCACTGTCAGCGCCGTCCATTGCTATGACGAAGGCGAGCCGACCTCTTGGAGCAGCTGCGCGTCAGGGGCATGGTTAACAGATGCGTCGTTTTCATTTGTCCCCCGTAGCTGTATAAAGCGGACGCCTCTCATTAACTCCTCCGATCTCCTCTGTTTCAAAATTCGCTCACTTGGTTGGCAGGGACACCGATCTTTGTTCATGCTATTGCACCCCACGCATGAGGGTTCACTGCCTGTTGCCCCTCTGTGTTCAAAATCAGCCAATCGGCATCGAAGCGCACACTGGTCGACCCAACATCCGAACACGTTCGGCTTGGCAAATGTGCCGGATGGGTCACATGCCTGGGTTTGGGGTCGAAAGGCACCATATTAACTCAAACGAATTGAGTGCGGAGGTCGCCGGAAAGACAGGACTCTGGTAGCGTGAGTTTATATTTACATCCCGAACCCCTATGGGAGGAATTTTGGAACGCTCCTGATCCCTTACAGTGAAAGAGTTAGCTAAGCAGGTCTGAGTAGGAAGTCAACCTTCCTGGCAAGCGTGACGTCAGGGCTCTTAGAAACGCCGCAAGCTCCGTGTTTCACAGACCTAACCAGCAAGCCGGACTTCTGGGCCAAGGCGATGTCAGAGCGGTTCGCCGAGCCGGGCTGCGTGCTGTTTTTCTACGTGACCGCCTCCGGCGACGTCCGCCTAGGCATGAACGGCGTGGAACGCGGCGTCTTTCTGAGCGGCGTGGACACGAGCCGCCCGCTGTGGGCGCTCTTTGATGTGTACGGCAACGCCACGGCGCTTCAGCTCGTGCGTAAGTGTGCGCGCACACCCGACCGAGCGCAGTCCCACGCGCGCACCTGCCGACCGAGCGCAGTCTCACGCGCGCACCTGCCGACCGAGCGCAGTCCCACGCGCGCACCTCACGCGCGCACCTGCCCACCAAGCGCAGTCCCACGCGCGCACCTGCCGACCGTGCGCAGTATCACCTGCGCCCCTGCCGACCGAGCGCAGTCTCGCGCGCACGTGCGGACCGAGCGCAGTCTCCCGCGCACACGCTGACTGGGCAGTCTGGTGCGCGCACGTGCCATCCGAGCGCAGTCTCACGTGCGCCAGTCACCGCATGAAGTGACTCGGACGAGCGCCGCCAGCAGTGACTGATCAGATGGCTCGCACTGACTACATTCAGTCGCTACGGGACTGGAGAGTAGGGCCCACGTGCGCATGCCAAAATTACACGTGCCGTGTAATTTTGTGTAGTATGTCGGCTGGTGACGTGAGTAGATATATATTGAAGCATCACTATTTGGTAGGCCTTGGCCATCTTGTTCTCAGCAATGTTACCCCAGCGTTAGCATTGAAGACGATGGTAAGTCATTTCGGGGCTGCATGCTTCCAAGGACGTGCCACGTCGTTCCGGTGCAGGTGATACCTTTTTGCAAGTCGTTCACCTCTTTCCACTATAATTCGTCTGTAATGATTTAGCCTCAACAGGAGGAGGATGCGGGATGGCGCGCCATATTAGCACCAGTACTTTTGCGGTGCCGGCTGCCGCGTGCTACTTCGTTAGGAATTTGTTCGTTATGCCATATCCCGTGTCAGCTGTGTCCGTGTGGAGCTTGTGCAGGGCCCGTGTTGTCTGCCGAGCAGATGAGCGGCGGCGGTCGTCCGTCTCGCTGGAACCCAGCGCGGACGCGGTGGGAGCCGAGAGAGGGCCTGACTTCGAGCCCGGCGGGCAGGAGACCGAGGTCGCACCGGACCATAGCCAGCACGCCGGCGACAGGTGCGATGACGCCCGTCCGGACGAGGGGCCGCCGGACGCGACGCTCCAGCCTCTGCTCCTGCACAGGTCAGTGCCCTACAACACCTCCTCCACAGGTCACTGCCCCACAATGCTGCTCCTCCACAGGTCAGCGCCCTGCAACACTGCTCCTCCACAGGTCACTGCCCCACAACGCTACTCCTCCACAGGTCAGTGCCCTACAACACCTCCTCCGCAGTGTGCCCCACAATACTGTTCCTCCACAGGTCACTGCCCCACAACGCTGCTCCTCCACAGGTCAATGCCCTACAACACTGCTCCTTCACAGGTCAGTGTCCTACAACAGTGCTCCTCCACTGGTGGGTGCCTCACCACGCTGCTTTGTTCGGGTGCGAGCTAGAATCGTGCGCAGTCGCGCGCGCTCTGGCACCGGAATCCGCAGTTAACGCGCGCCCGGGTGGCCGCCTAGATACCCGTCGCTCGGGTGGGGCGGGAGCGGTTCATTTTGACCCCCTGAGATCCCGGCAACTAAGAAAGCTAGAGACACCACATTGACAGGGTGTGTTGACCTGTACGGGAACTCACATAGGTGGAAGTTTCAGGTTCCTAGGTCATGACCTTCGGGTCAAAAAAGGTCAAACAAGGTAAAGTTCCAGGTTGGTCTCCAAAGTGCCCCCAGAACGTAGATAATTGTCTGAAAGCAAAAGCTCGCTTTCTCATTAAGGTCAGTGACCTTGTTTGACCTTTTGAAGGTCAGTGTGACCAACATCATACAAGATTGCTTTGAGTTTTGCATTTGACAAAGCGACAAAGATTACGCTGGGCAGTATGTTCCTAAAACAAAATGTTGACCTAGGTCAGTTTAGGTCAATGACCTATTCTGACCTCTAAGAAGCCCATGGAAGATGTATGATGCGGTTCCGGCCATCAATAAACTCAAAATGAGCACCAGAAACTATCCCATACAGCAAACTATAGAGTAATAAAACAGGTTGGTTTTGGCCTTGGTGTGACCTTCATACCTGACCTTAGGTCAATGCAATTTGCTCATTCAACTGTTATGCTGCCTAAGAAAGCATCTCAGATATGTATGGCTTCGTCTAACACTCCGTTGTTGGATCAGATTGAAGGATTCCCTAGAAACTGCCTTCGCTGAAACCATGGTCTGACTTTGACCTGCCATAGGTCAGTGACCTTGCAAGGTACATCTAAATTTTCGGTGCCAAACGATCCGCTATTTAATTGTCTACAGCTGAGCAAAGTTTGGCGCCGCGCCGTTCGGAAACCATTCTGGAAAAACTTTCGGGGGGTCAATTTGACCCCTCTCTACCCGAACGCGTGTTAATGACGAATGCGAGCTGGGCGCGTTGCTGTGGGTGAACAGTGGCTATCCTCTGTACATGCTGCTAGTAATGGATGCGATGATAACTGGTACAGGATTTCTATGCAAAGTGTATACTGCGCAATGGCACTTCAGCCAGCCTCGAAGGGATACTGAGGCAGGCGCTTCAGAAACGTCTCACGTGTATTGCTGCAAGCGCAGTGTACTTGGGTGTCTCATGAACGTGCCGAGTTGCTATGGTCACCGCTAATGTTATCGCAGCGTGTTCTGCCCGAGCACAATGTGTCATGTGTCTCTGAGCCCCTCTGACCCCGCCGTGTATTACTCCCCCTCCCCCGTTGACCGATGGCGGCCACTGCAGGCTGGCGCGCGGTGGCGGCGTGTCGGTGAGCTCGTGCCTGACCGAGGCCAGCCGGCTCGGCCCGGACTCACAGCCAGCGTACGTGCTGGGCGCCTCGCCGTTGGTGCCGGGCGGCCGGCTGGCAGTGCGTCTGCTGGCGGTCGGCGAGCCGCGCGCCGCCGGCCTGACATTCGGCCTCACCTCTTGCGACCCGGACACGCTGCTGGCCGACGAGCTGCCGGCTAACCCGGATCTGCTGGCCAACCGGGCCGAGTACTGGCCGCTGGTGGCCGACGTCGTCTCGTGGCCGATGGCCGGCGAGCGGCTGACGTTCGGCCTGGCCGCCGGCGGCGTGGTGCACGTGCAGCGTGGCACCGGCCGGCCGCGCACGCTGATGCACGTGGACGCGTCGCTAACGCTGTGGCCGGTGCTGGGATTGACGGGCGGTGTGGGCGCGCTGCGCGCGCTCGGCCTGGCGGCCGGCACGCCGACGTCTTCGCCGCAGGAGCAAGCGGCAGCCGCCGGCGGCGCCGACGACGCCCCTGCCGCCGCGACGCCACAGGAGCCGCAGTCCGACTGCTCCGTCTGCTTGGACCGCGCCAGTGACGCGGCCCTGTACGCCTGCGGGCACGTCTGTATGTGCTACGCGTGCGCGGTACAATGGCGCGCGCGCGGCACCGGGCTCTGCCCCGTCTGCTGCGCGCCCATCAGGGATGTGATCAGGCTGTACCGCAGCTGACCAGCGTGGCGCCGCCGGCCGCCCCGCGCCGGCTCCTGCCTGCTGTCGCGCGAGCTCCTGCGTGCTTTGTGATGACGTGGCCATTCATAATGCTGGTGATGAAAGGCTGTAAGTGACGGCACCAGCTTAAATTCGTGCCCATTTATGGTCATGTGCTTGCACGTGTGATTAATGATACACTAGTTTCAGTGCTTCAGCTTGCTATGCACCCGAGGAAGGGCGACGAGTGACTTAAATGTGTGTGCTATATGTGTATGTGTGTCGGGCTGACACGTGTTAGATGGCACGGTGACAAGCACACGGACGGAGCGTCTCTTGGGGCCTCATGCGCTTCGCGAGTTGCATCAGTCGTGATGGAGCCAGCCGTTCCAAAAGCTGCCATCCACGTGATTTCTGTGATCTCGAGATGAAGTGATTCCTCCAGTACCTCATAGTCCTAATGGTTGAGAGGTCTCCGGAGCTGGGGGTGGCATGCTCGACTCAACTGAGTGCGTAGCGGGCAGCGCGAAAAGCCGCATAAGTGGGGGCAGGGACGCCATCAGCTGTTTGCGTTTTCCGCGTAGACATCGGCACGACGGGTGGCGATGCCGAAGGTCAGCAGGGACGTGCGTCGTAATCGTAAGTCACACTAGGCAATGTGTGCGAAATGTAGTGTCATGTTCAGATCGCGCGTGGATCAGGATTGGCCTCGTTTATTGGTCGGGAACGCTAGGCTTAATTTCTTCGCGAATGTGGGACCATTTCTGCCATGAAAGCCAGTAAACCCGTGATTTTGTAGTTGGCTATGCCACTGCCTGCGCGTGAGACGCCGTTCACTTATGTGGCGACGGTGAGTGATGCGAGACCGAGTTATCTGTGAACGGAGCATAGTAAGATGGCATGGTCATGTCACTGGAAGTCTTGAAATTTCACACCGCTTCACCACAACTTCGGCGCAAATGCATTGAAGAAGGCGATGCAAACAACACACCACAAATTGCACGAAGTGCTTCGCGGCTACATGTCGAAGTTCGAGTTCAAACTCGGCTTGCACTGTTTTTTAAGCTCTATGAGCACCTTTACCCGCTAAAACGAACCGGGACCTTTAGCGCCAAGGGTCCCCAAAGACCCCTTTGGATACGCCACTCGCATTCATTGTTCCTGGACCGCCGCAGCAGAACCACCCAGACGTCTTGTGCCATGTGGTCCGCGCGGACCAATCTTAGACGGTATAATCCGCTGCTGTGATGGAAATGAAGCACAGCTGGGGCATTGCAAAATTGTTCTTGTAAAAAAAACATTGCAAAAAATCCACTTTTTCGTCGATGTAAATGCTGTTAACACGGACCGCAGCCCTATCGACTAAAGCCGGCGGGCGGTCTGCGCCAGTCTAGGAAGTGTGCCATCTGCACGGTTATAGCTGGTGTGAGGTATGGCATACCACCAAACTCCTGATGAACAGTGGGTGTTTTCACTGGAGACCGATGAAAAATTGAAATGTTCAGATTCTGGGGTTGCGCGTGGAGTGGACATCGCGGTCAAGGTAGTTTTGATAATTGTTATGATGCGACGAGTTCAATAAAAATGCCTTCATACTCATAAGGGGAGAAGATCACCAGTATTTGTATATATATATATATATATATATATATATATATATATATATATATATATATATATATTACCCAATGGTAAACGTAGCTTTTCTTCTAGGCGATTTTGGCTGAAATATGGGCATGAGGATATTTCATTTTATTTTATATTGAGTCGCTATGTGACTATCGTTAAGTACACACGACACAGGCGTACATAAAGAATGCTTCGCGGGGGGGGGGGTGAAGCTCAGAAAGCGTTACACCAATGCTGGGCCTGACACTGACACTTCCGTGACGGCGCGAGTAGAGGAGGCAGGTTCTTAGAGGTGCCGTGCATCTCAGAGGTTGGACGGAATTCTCTAAACGGATTAATGCTTCAATGTCACTTTCGATTCCCGAAGGAGCACTGACATCATGTCGGTAGTAAAATCTGATAGTCCTGGGCTCGTCGCAGGAACACACGTGACTTGGGATCTGACCACCGTGATACCAACCTGGACCAGTCTTCCCCCTTTGTTTGCGCGCCTGCGCCGCGGGTCATAACAACGTACTCCGCTAAAATCCGGACCCCTGTACCAATACTCGACACTAAAGAGGGCGCCAGGACCGCGCTTATACACGCGCAATCGCTGACCCATCGCCCCAAGCCTCGTGATTGGCTGATTCTGGCAAAACCAAAAGCGTCGCATGGGTAGTTCGTTTATGACATGAGTGACAGCCCGTGCAATGATGAATGACTGGGGCGATGACACACACCAGTACACATGTGTGGCAACACATATCCACACGTACGGGAGTCAGCCGGTCGCCAGCGCTGCAGGGCCCCGCAGAACGGAGCCTCCTCTACGAATCACAGCTCATCTCGTACCAACAAGGCAGGCCACACGTGCATGCCGGACGCACGGCGGGTCACCATCAGCTGCCGACCTGCTGCGACCTGGCCGACCGGGCGAACTGCACCACCATCGGCTTGTCTTTGAGGATGAAACCGTTGGTCTCGGCGAGCGCAAGGCGGGCCACCTTGGGCGACGGCAGGCTCACGAATGCCTGACCCTTCATGCGACCCTCCTGCATCAACCGGATGTCGAATCTGGAAAGCGATGGAGACCAATATCAACACCACACAAGAACGCGGGGCAAATATTCATTCAGCACGTTTGGCGGTGCGTTTGTTATCACTGTGGACTTGATGGTCAGTTATGATCGCAATGGTCCTCGAAATCGATTAGACAGATTGAACGCAGACCTGTGGCTTATCACACACTGTCCTACACATTGTTGTAACTTTCACAAATCCCTCTTCTCACAAAATCAATATGTTGGGTCATTAAGGCCAACTGTGCACACTTCCGGCCTCAACGTAAATTTTAAGACAATTCTATCGCGACTTCGATCAGACTTTTGCAGTTATCATTCTGAACTGAGCCGCCGACCATATCTTTTATGTAATTCAGATGCGCTTTCTATCGTCGGGTACGATGGCAACCAGTCCCACGCAGCCAATGCCCAACATGGCGATGATAGACTTCACAGGAGGCAACTCCTTTACGGTTTCGCTAAACTCACGCGTTCTTGTGGTGTTCGTCCGTCCAGTCCAGATATCGGCCAAACACATGTCGAAGGTCCCCCGCGGCCACTCGCTTGTCCAGGTTCTTGATATAGAGACGGGCTGACTCGTCACCAGGAGTGTACCGAGAGAACACCGGCAACACTTTCATGTCTGAAGAGCATGAACCAACGCTTAAAGCCAGACACTTTGCAGTTACAGGTGTAGGTACGCAATAAGTGTCCGTTACAGCTTGATGCCGAAAGGAGGGAGAGAGAAGGTGAACAAAGGTTCTCCGTTCCAGCCTGCGGCCAGTAGCGTCCACTCCGCGCACGTAAAGCAACCGAAGCACTTAATGAAGTCGTGACGAACCATGTTAGCACGAAGCCACCGCCCAGCGGAGACGGAGCGTGTCTCCGGCCAGTCGCGGAGAGCATACCTTCCGCGCTGATCCTGTTCTCCGCCAGCTGCCGGTCGCTGATGAACTCCAACTCCGGCCTCGGCTCGGTCGCCACTGCCTCGGCCGTGCCCGGCTCCGCCCGGCTGGGGTACAGCTTGGCAAACCCGACCTGGACAGCGGGCGGTGTACCGTTGGCGGGCGGCAGCGGCGGCCGCTCGGCTGGCAGCCGGAGCACAGGACGCCGCGCCGGCGTCACTATGCTCGCCGCCTCGAACACTTCCGACAGTGGCACAGCGGCGGCGGCGGCGGCGGCGGCGGCGGCGGCCAGCCGCTGGCGCCGCGCCGCTCGCAGTCGACGGCCGCTGTCCGGCAGCCGCGCCAGCCGACGCCGCTTGGGCCGCCTCTCTGGGGCCGCGTCCGAGTTGTCGCTCACCAGCTCCGACTCGGCTGAGTCAAAGCTAGAGTCGATCGGCTCCGTCTGCACTGCCACGTCGTGACGTGCCGCCAATGGCGGCTGCGGCGCGGCGGCCGGCGTCGCTGCCGGGCTGGCCGCAGCGAATGGCGCCGGCAGCGACATCTTGTTCATCAGGTGCAGCACCTGTGTGTAGAAGCGCGGCCTGGAGAGCAGGGCGCTGCTTATTCGCGCCAGCGTGTCGGCCGTCGGCGGTGGGTAGGCGTAGTGCAGGGTCGGGCATGGGAATGGGAAGACAGCCAACTGGTCCACAGTACTTGTCAACTGGTGCTTGATAGGTGCAGATTGGTCTTCACTTTGCCAGCTGTCAAAACAGTTAATATGTATTTTAATGTTGATGTCCCTAATCTCTTTGGAATAAATTTTATGTGAACCAAAGTACATAAGTGATCCAGCCATCAGCTGCAGTGTGCTATTATCAGGCCTGGTGATGACAACATATCAAGTATATTCCAGGCATGCAGTGCCTAGATTTATGTAGTGTTATTTATGTGGTGACATTATGTAGTGCCTAGAATCAACAGTGTCTATAAAACACAAATCTCCAGCCTTGATTTCTACTATATCAACAGAAACAACACAAATGAACAGAATTTTGATATTAGCAAAAAAAACTCCATTACTGCAAAATGCACATACATACTGACATGCTGGCATACTGGAATGGGGACATGTTTGTCCAGTGGCCAACATAACAGTTGTGGCTAACATGTGACTTCTAACTAGTCAAGTGAGAGCTCCAATGCTGGCTGAGTGCCAGGGGAGGATTTAACTTGGTCAGATCAGAAATGAGCCTATTGATACCAATTATATGCTCGAGTACTAGTAGATAGATACATGTTCATCCAAGAACACCATAAAACACTGACTGATTTCTATTGGAGCTTAGCTGATAAATATGTACATGACATGCTCACCTGCATCCTATCTGCAATGTGCTATCTGCATACTCGACAACAAGCCTAGAACCACCCAGGTCCGCCTGGTGAAGCTGCTGCAGAGCATGCTGGGCATCAGATGTGGACTGAAATCTGGGTAAACAAACATGTTGATTGCACTACAACAACCATGAATGACACCAAAATTTGGGATGCTGGAGAAAATGGGTTTTACATGAGATCCAGATGACAAATAAAAACAAATAAGGGCACTACCTTTCAGTTACATACTACTTCTTTCAGATAAGAACTCTTTGTCAGACTCATATTTCTACATATTTTTTTACAAACGACATGACAATTTTACTTTGAGAAGTCCCAGCTCTGAGCAAATAAGCACTTACCTAGCAAAGATTGCTTTTTTTCTCCGGAACCTCTTGAACACTTTCACTTCTTCTGCACCAAAATTACTCAAAAGATCCCTGCTTTCCTCTTCCGTTACGGCCAAAGGTAAGTTCGATATAAGCAATGATGTCATGGCAGCTCCACATGACAAAGTATTACTCAGATCTCATGTTAATACTACCACGCTCAACACTGGTATAAGCCTAACCTAAATCTGGTACTTCAACTCAGGCGTAACTATTGCCTAGCGTGAGGTAGGGCTAAATTCAACCAATTTCTAGATAATTATCAACGTTTAACCCTTAATAATGCACCATGCCCATTCATCATTGCTTGAACCATACCCCTCCCACCCCACACACACACCCGAACGCTACCGGCCACGCCGTTGGTTACTGGCGTCAAATCGCAACGCGAAATCGACGCATCCAGCATTTTGGTGCAAGCGCACATACATATTCATATGTTGTGCCTTTTATGAATCAAAGCTCTGCCAATTATGAAATATCTCGTAATATTTTTACAGGAGTATCTTCATGTTTCTACCGGTTGCACAAAACGGGCTGCGTTTAAACTGGAAGTTCTTTCATTTATAATCCGCTGCGTTTTTACGCTTCATCATCTAACCTTGGCAGGGTTTAGTTTTGTAGCATTGTACAGTCTCGAAAACTTTGACATACGCTGTGAACAAGCGGCCCTCCTTTCGTTAATTTTGTGTTCAATTCGTTTTTTTGCTAAATGTGTGAGTTAATAAAAAAAAACTTGTATCGTATTTATATTTTTAAAAGCTCTTTATCCTAGAAAGGCATAAAATTACAACACACTTGTATGGAGGCTGTATGGTGATTACGACATGGTCTCTGGACGAAAACAAATGCACATGTTCTCCAGCTGATCGAAGACCGAACTGCGTCACTGACCATGCGCCGCAGACGGTGAGGTGCAGAAAGCACAACAGGGGGCTAGAGGGAGGATCTTGATCAGTCGCGGCGCGGCAAAGCGCGTGGTGCGACGGCATGCCTTTCTTGTCCAGGGATTGGCGTTCGCCTGGGGAGGAGTGGGTGAAGACAGAAGAAGGATGGGAACAAAAGAAAATACTGGAATGCGGAAGTTCACCACCAAGGTCGCACAACTTGAATGCATCCCTGGACGAAGAAGACAAAGAAAGATCGTCGGAATCGCCATCCAGGTAATTTAGAATGGCTTAAGTAATTTTAGATATGGCGAATGCACCCAGTCTTGTCTCAGTGTACGTAGTCTTTCTACTTGCTAACTCAGAAAAAGTGTGTCTTGCCTTGTGCTGGCCATATTTCAGTTGATTCGACTGTCGCCCTTGTCTGACCCAGTGGCCTGAGGGCATAATGGTAGGCCATATGAAATGGACACTGCCCAGGTGTGGGTGTGTCATTGTATATTGACTAAAACAGTGCAGAAGCTTTTGGGCACACATCATATGTTTCATGTACTCCAACCAGTAGTGCTCACCATATTGGTTGCATGATGCATGTGGCTGAGGAAGGGGGGGGGGGAGGGGCAGCAAGCATAGGAATAGCAGTCTCTGGGTGTAAGGCACCCATGGATTTGAAATAATTTGTCTGACAGAGGCAGCTGATGCTGGCTGTCTACATTGTTCTTACTCATCACACCTTTGTACATTATTTTATATATTTGGGATATATATTTGTTGTGATGGGAAGAAGGTTGCATGGATACAAAAAAGCATGTGTGCATGCTACTTTTGTTTAGTGGTCATGTTGGCTTAAGAGAGTTAAATACTGGCTTAGCTTGAAAGTGTTTGCTGTTTTTTATTCATGGCTTAGTCATATTGGCATGAGTATGTTGTAGTAAGTATCTGGGCCTTATATCAAATCAATATTTGCATAAGTTTACTGTGATATATATGTGGGCCTGTGCTTTAACTTATGAATAATTGAAAAGCATAACAATATTGCAGAAACATCAGGAGCCCAAGGGCCATTTCAGGGCAAGTCATGCATGCATACTAGGGGACTACAAATTGACTGCTGCTATTTTGCAGCAATGATATGCTGGCATAGGAAATATGGTAGGCTAAGTGTGGAGAAGGCAAACCAGGCAATCCTGGGAAACAGTTTAGAATGTGCCCAAGCTCTCACATATTGCAAGATGTTTAGAGGTGTGAGATTCCCAAATTGAGATAAAATCATCCCAGTTTAGTATTTGGAAGAGAAGGGGGAGACATTGAGAGAATATAACTTGCTTGCACCCTAGGATGAGCTGTGCTGAAATAATCAGAGATATCCATAATTGATCAGATTGTCTTTGAAACATGCTGATTTTTAACACACTGAGGGTATAAGAAAAGGCAAAAGATGACCAGAGTGTTGGCTGTGTGATGTCTAGCATTGTCCCAGACTTTGTATCCTCCCAGCATCAAGCTAAAACTGTGCATTAGATATGTGTTTTGTGCTCTTTTTCACCTGCAACAAGGTTTTCTGATCAGCATGAATTCTGGGCTTTGTATCTCATCTTGAGTGGCTTATGTGAAATATGCTGTGTGGGGGTGGGGGGGGGGGGGGAACATATATGTTCCATTTGCTATTTTCTGTTAAGTTAAGTATGTTATAGCATCAGTAAACAGTGGAGCACTTTGGCCAAGCAGTTTTGTGGTGCCCACGGCTCGTGTGCCTCGGGACGGCCGGGCGCCAGCGGCGCCTTTCTCCATCTGGCACGGGGAGTCAGCCAACCGGGGAGCCGCCGCGCCGCCGCGAGCAGGCCGCGCTGTTGTAACTGCCGCCGGCGAGTGGGCCGCGACGTCCGCCAGGCGCGGCGGTGCGGTCCGCTGGGCTCGGCGCCGGCCGAGCGGGAGGTGTTCGCTGGCCGGAGCGCCCGGAGGCGGGCTCGAACGGTGCGCGCCGCAGCCCGCTGCACGTCCGGCCGGCCGGGGCCGGATAGACCCCTGCCGCTGACGCGCCACGGCTCCCGACCGCCACGGCGAGGACGGTGTGGGGTCGGTGGCCAGCCGGCAGGCGTCCCCATGTCAGAAGCTCGGCATGCAGGGCCCGCTCCGCTCATGCTCGGTTGGCCGGTTATGGAATCGCGACTGCCGCTCGGGGTTGCCGTGCTGCAGTTGGTGGCATAGGCCGCGGGCTCCGTGAACGGGCGGGACAGACGCCGCTCGGGGTTGCCGTGCTGCAGTTGGTGGCATAGGCCGCTGGCTCCGTGAACGGGCGGGACAGACGCTGATCGGAGTTGTTTTTCCGTCCGCTCTCGCTCAGATGGCACGTCGGCTGCAGGCAGTATGCTGCCAAAGAGGAGTACCCGGAGCTACCGCCAGGCGCCTTATATCTCAAACGACATATCCCCGGACGAGGCAGAACAGCGTATCCCAGGCCTACAGTATGGCTCAATCAAAACGGTGTGCAGTTTTAGTAAAATATTAACGGTAGCGATATTATATAAGCAGTGAGCAGTGTAGAGTATTGTATCCTCTCCAAGTAGTGCGTAGACAAACCCGTTTTAGCCCTGGATGGTGATATGACACGGGCCCGGGTTGCGGCGGGCGGGATGTGGCCCAGGGCGGATCGGCGCCACCGTCAGCCGTGCCCGCTGGCCCCGCTCCTCCGGCTCTATTTGGGGAACGGAGGGGCGCACCGGGAGCACCAAGAGAAGGGAGTGAGACGGGAGACGACTCTGTGGGTTATGCGACATATGTACGATACTCGTGCCTTTTGAATGACTGAGCTGCGACTTAAAAGCTGGAAACGATCACTCGTGTTCATTTGCAAAGAAATGTGGTGGTGCGGGGCGTTTGAGCTCGGGATAAACGATTCGATTTTCTCGCTGTCAGAGTAACTGCCAATTCTACTGTTCGACACTTCCATCGAGTTCCACGTTTTCGAAACATTCCACTACGCATGTGCGCCTGCGGTGCCCCACGGATCGCGAGTGTGCGGTGCCCCACGGATCGCGAGTGTGCCACTTGCGGCGGATGTTGACCAAACGCGCGACCAGTGCATTGGTGCGAGCCGTCGGGCCTGGCGCGCCACTGACGTCTCGTGCGTGATTTCAGCGGCTCGTCAGACGAGGACAAGGAGAACGAGTGTGTGCGCGGCGGTCAGCTGGCGGCATCTCGACCTCGGCCGATCCCGTCGGCCGGCCTCGCGCCGCGCAAGGCTGCCGGTGAGAACCGCCCGCCGCTGACCTGGTGGCCACCCCGGCCGCTCGCCTCCAAGCGCGGCCTGGAGCCATGATGTCCACGCGCCTCCACGTGCGCGTGGATGCCGTACGGCCTCTGTCATGGGAGGGGGGGGGGAGGGTCGTGATTAAATAGCTGGTTTTAAGCGAGTTGGACGGCTTTGAAACGTGATGCGAGGAGGGAGTATTCATTTTTAAGTATGAATTGGATGTTTCGTCTGCCTAGCAAGCTGGAAATGGTGGAAGCAGATGAATTCTGGGAAGCATGAAATCGATTGTCATACAATCGATTATAAGCTTATTTCGATCCAGTATCGAGAACTGGTACTTCGCAGTCGGCGAGTTTAGCCAAGGCCGTTGATCCCCGTCCTTCTAGAGCGTCTTTTACGTGATTCCCAGAGCGGCGTCGTCGTTGTTCGCCGTCCAAGACAAACACTACGCCCGAAACGTCCCGATCCGAGCCAACTCCTCCTTTGTCCGTGGGCCGGGCAAGTCTAAATACGCAGCAGTTTGAGGTGCCCCAGTTGCCAAATGCGTTTCGCAGCACCCGGTCAGAGGAGGCCGTGCCAAGCTGGGCACGTGCTCCGTCGACGGAATTCCCACTGACGGGTGACGCCGCGGGAGCGGGGCTGGGCCGGGTACAGCGCCGGGGCACGCGGGAGGATGCGCCGCTCGCTGCTCAGGCGACAGCGGTGCCGGCTCCCACTCGGACAGTGTTGGTTTTGGTGCGGACTGCGGGCACCGCCGCACAGATAGCTTGCACCACTGGTTGTATCTGTCTTTCGCGGCTCGTGACGTAGGGTTCTTTGTCGAGGCGGTGCCAGCTGAGTTTTGTGTCTCTGCGCCAGTGCACGCTTTTTTGCCTCGAATATAGCTTCATTGAGCTTTGCTTCACATTGACTTGCGTGGTTTCAAAAAAGATAAAAATGCGTGATGAGTTAGATTTATAGGACCAGTGCTCTGGGGGATTCGATTTTATTTAAGGAAGCGGTGCCGCATGTGTAACTTAGTATTTCGCAAAAGTTGTGGACTTGTCCCCCCTCATCCTCCTATGGCGGGAGCCTATAACAGAGGCCAGAAGTCAGTACAAAGGTACAAAATCTAGGAATATAGGACGAATAAACCATATCGAGGATGTTTTAGGAAATGGATTTCGGCCTTAATGACCCGGTTCACGTCTTACGCCGTAGGTGACCTTACATTTGGCACAGTCAAGTAAAACCAGCGAAAAAAATCGCCCATCTTCATTTCGGGTCTTCGGAGTCCCATCCCAGTCCTCGTTCAGCAAATGATCCACTGGCCGACTCGAGGCCCCTTGTTGACACAGAACACTCTGTTAAGCGCTGTGGGCCCCTGGACGATACAGGAGATTCGCATTGTTGCGGGGGCCCCGACCAGTGCAAATCACGGGCTCGGCCTTGTCCCTGCTGGGGAAATGGGCCGCCGGAGCCCAGACGGACACGAAGCCGACTGTTCGGTGTTGATCTCTGGCCGAAACAGACCAATGCTCTGTTTCAGGGGTCCCCAATCGGTGCAAGAGGCCCTCTAACAGACATTTGAGATCATGACCGTACGGGCGGGGATCCTTAATGTGACCTACGGCTAGTCCTTCGGGCCTGCCTTCAGCTTTCGAATCGGACCTTGATCCTTGGTGTCAAGAGACCCTTCGGTCCCTCTTCGGACCACGTCGAAGAAAGCCCGTGACCGACATCGGGCCACTAGCCGACACATGATCCCCTGATAGGCACTGTGGGTCCCTGACGGGTACAGGAGCCTCAACTAACCCAACCCAGTTAGTGGTCTCTGGCCGGCTGAGACCTCGCATGGTGTCAGTGGGTCCCCACACAGTACAAGAGAACCTCTGACTAATGTTTCGGGCCATGACTCAACGGGTTCTTCGCGATACTTCATTTGACCTACAGCCGGCCTTGCAGGCCCCTACGCCCTCCAACCGGGCCCTTGATCGTCGGTTCCGGTGGACCGCCCGGGCCCCTCTTTGGGCTCCATGGAACACCACTCATGGTCAGCTCGAGACCCGTTGCGAACCCTGTAAATCGCTGCCCCGGCATTGTAGCTGATTGGGCAGTGGGCCGTCAAGCCCATACCGACACGAAGTCGACTGTGGTACCGATGGGGCTTGACCGACATGTGGGCCCTTATCATCTCAGGAGGTCTTTGATCGGCGCAAGGGGCCCTTTGACTGTCATTTGAGGGTCCATCCCCGCAAGCGGGGACACTTGAATAAGACTCCGACCAGCCATTCGTGCCCTTAGGCCTTCCAATGGGGCTCTTGGTTGTCGGACCCGGTGGGCACTCCGGGCTATTCGGACCTCCTCGAACACTGCCTGTGGCTGACTCGGGGCCCCTTGACAAAACTTGGCTTCCTATTAGGCGTTGTGAGATCCTGACCGACGCTGGGGGCCTCGACCAATGTAAATCGTTTGTTCTGACTTTGTCCCTGCTTGAGAAATGGGCCTTCAGGCCCATGCGTACACGCAACCGACTGTGCGTTACTGGAAGTGTCTGATCGACATTAAGGCCATTATCAACTCGGCGGGCCCCTTAACAGCTCGGGGTCCTCTGGCTGGTATTGAAGTATAAGGCCCTGCGGGCCGGGCCAACGAATACGACCTCGGGCCGGCCGCTCAGGTCCTGCATGCCCTCAAATCAGGCTATTACGAAAAGTGCTGAAGAGCCCCTCTGACTTCCTAGAACGAAAGAACGGCAAGTGGCCCTGTGCCCCTCCTCTGCCTGCGCCACTATCATGAGGTAGTCGGTTCCAGTGTTGTGCGTGCGCAGGCGACATGTGTCCGACGGCGGCGGACGCGTGTCGCCGCCGGCGGGGAGCGTCCGGCTCGGGGTAGGGTTACATAACGGGCGCCGGCGGTCCTGCCCGTGGCGACGCCTCCCGGCTCGGCCGCTGCACCAGATGCGCGGCCGGCTGACGCGACTCGCGGCGCCGGTTTCACCGCTACTGACGCCTGTACTGACCGTTGGCCGCCGTCAGCGCGACGAAAGGGAAAGTGAATGGGACAGGAGTGTGCGTTCGAGCACTGGCCGCGGCCCGTGGTGTGGCTGCAGACCGCGCCGTGCCGCTGGACACGCTCGGCTTGTCTCGAAGTGGCCAGCAGACGCCTGGGTTTGGCTCGCCTGCGGGTAGGAGTCTTCAGAAAGGGCGGAGCAAGCAACCATAAGCGGCATGGCTACATTATTATTTTCTTTCATTTTGCGAGCTTCATTCTGCATTTTACGTTGGAATCGTGCATGCAATGTATGGAACAGGCTGAAGTCGAGTTATATACATGTCGGGCCACGTGACTGGCGCGGTCATTGTCCCCATAACAAGTTGTTGCCAGCCTAGCCCTCGGTTACAGCACCACTGTGGCGGCAGGCAGGCGGTGCATGGACCTCTCAAAACAAACAGCCCTTCAAGTGAGGGAAACTTGTGACAAGCTTATTAAGCCGGCGTACAGTGCTCGACTCCGTCAAATGTTGTCATTGCTGCTGGGCGAATTTTCGTTCTTTGCGGAAGCCTACTGTGCTCGCAGTTATTGAACTATCTTATGCTTCAGCGGCTAGGGGTGTGGGTGGAATAGGCGTTACCACGTGACCGGACGAAGGTCTGGGTAACGGCTTATTGCGAGTTAAGAGGCTGGTTGAGGTACTGGCCCGTAGGCAGTAACTCCTCAAGCCGCTCCCACCTAACCGGCAAAAGACACTTAAAAGGTCAATTTTGGTTTGCCGTAAATGGCCTCGTCCCAGCGTCCGCTTGTTTTGATTATTGCACGCCTACAGCTAATGAGACAAGCGAACCACTTATGACATTTGAGCGTTGGTATTTGGTGTGATTAGAATACTTTTCTTCATAATTACTGCAGCTTCCACTTATCCACTGCCTGGTCCATCTGTCAATTCCACCGATAATAGTTCCATCACCATTAAGTTTGTGTAGCAACTTTCAACGTCTGAAGCCATGGCTGTTTGGGAAGGTTCTTGTTCGGTCCAATATCTTCCTGACAGTCTTGTTCGTGGAAGGCAGCGCAGACTGGGAGCTCTCCCGCTCGGTATATCTTTATCAGATAAACTTTGTCCGAATGCTATGTAGGGATGACTGTTATTAGTTTCATTGCCAAATGTAGCCTGTTGTGAAGGCCCTGAACCCTCCAGCCGGGTACAGCCACTCCAACGGGGCATGTTTGCCGAAAGGCTTGTGGAGCCGTGTGATACCGTGACCTGAGGTCAGGGATCTCAGCTTGAGGTCATGCGGCGAGGGAGGGAGCGGGCAGGGCAGCAGTGCCGCCCGTCATCCGGACCCGGCGGCCCCGTCCTTGAGAAGCCGGTTCGACCGAGGCTCTCCTTTGTCTCCTAGCGCGCCTGAGACCGGGCTCGCCGGTGCGATCGGCGCCAGGCGAACCGCCGATGCTCTGGGCTCTGTGTCAGGTGCCGAGACCGAGTGACCAACAGCAGGCTGCTGAATGGGGCGGACGGGACGGACGGCAGCCAGCAGCGGCTCCGTCAGCCGATAACGGACAGTCGGGCCCAGACGGACTTAAGGACGGTCGGGCCCAGACGGACCCAGATGGACCCGGGAACAGTCGGACCTATACGGACCCAGGGACAGAGGGACCCAGACGGACCCGGGGACAGCGGGGCCCAGACGGACCCGGCAACAGTGGGGCCTAGGCAGACCTAGGGAAAGTCGGACCCAGACAGGCCTAAAGCCAGACGGAACTTGGGATAGACTGACCCAGAGAGGCAGCCCGTAAGCTGACGCACTATTGCCGGCTGAATTGCATGAGCGCGTCAGCCAGCGATAGGCGGCTATCAACTGCAAATACGAGCCTTTGTGCGCGCACCAAATAGCACCAACTGGGTGAATTGAGTCCGTGATCTTGGGATCGTATTATCAGGGGTGAGCAAGGTCGTCATCTGTAAAAACATCCTATCAGGCGCGTGCTAAAAGCGCCCTAACGCACATTCTCTGTTGGGTGGGTGAGAGACGGCTGCCATTGGCGGGATTGTTTGGGGTGCACGCGCGGTGTAACCAACCACCGGCAGACCCGTGCTAGAGGTGGCATTTCTCGCTTCTGTTAGACAGTTGACAATCGATCATGACTTGATTGATTGGTGACATGACGTTGTCAGACTGACAGTTGCCAATCTGTATCGCCAGCCACTGTCATGCAAGCGAAATCACAGTCCGTGACACTCATGTTTCTTCTTTGTTGGGATTAGGCACCGAGCATGGCTGAAGCGGCATCGGTGCGATGTCGTGCCCTCCGGGACGGCTCATTCGGTTCGGTGCTGTCAGCTGTTGGCGTCCGCCGTGTGTTGTGCCCCTGCGTCTCACCCGCACGGCGGGCACCGAGCTGCTGTCGGCTCGCACGGGACGTTCGCCGCTGTCGGCAGCACGCTGTGCGTGACTGTGGCCGGGCCCCCTCCTGCCCTCCTGGCAGGCGCTAATATTCAATTAGGTTCTGACCGGGACACCTGATGAGCAGCCCTGGTCAGTGCAGAGCCGAGCTGCGTGATCAGTGCTATCATGTGGCCATAGGGGAACCTTGCCGATTGTACACCGAGCTAGCACGCCACCTCCGCCGACCGGGCGCGGTTCTCAGTTGCGTCATTGCTGTCTGGCGGTTTTCCCTCGTGCATGACACTGAAAAGCGGTGATCCGCAGCGGCGGTGTGGCGTGGTCGTGCTACTTTCAAGACTTGCGACACTGACCCCTGCCGGTGATTCGCCGTTTTGCTTGCCGTGCTGCTGACTGGGGCCCTCTGTTCTGTCCGCCGACGTCTTTGAACCATCTGTCCTCAGCTTGTCCCGAAGATAGCCTCGCGGAAAATGGCCGCCATGTCATGTCGCGACACGAGGGCATGGGGTCTCTACGTCTCCGGTTCTCTGATTCCAGCCACCTCTCGATAGCCAGAGTAGGTGGCTTGTCCAGGGCTTTATTTCAGGTGCTGGCTGAGTCAATACTGAGTCAATCGACAGCTGTTGTCAGGATACACTTTGTTTCCCTCCGAACAAGATTAACGCTATTAAGCCTTGCTGAAAGTGACCATTCAATACGAAGTATTCAGCCATTAGCCTTTATCAGGTTGGAAAAAATTGCGCACGGTGTGAGTGAGCTTTTGAAGCTGTTAATCTCTAACGCATGTTGCATTTTTAGTTACTTTCTGGGAACCTTGAGCACAAGGTTGTTTTTTAACCGTATTATTATGCTGCTGATATAGCCTTCTTTACTTGATCCATAGAGTAACTCCGGAACTTAATTTCGGAATTGCACCTCAAGTCTCTTTCGGTAATGTTGCAATGTCGCTTCACGTCAGTTCAACCTTTCTCGAGACTATATGGGCCCAGGCTACCACATCTGGGTGAGAATTCACCCCAGGTCAGTCGGCGTCCAGTGGTGCCCACGGCCGACTGGTCAGCACCATTCGAGCGTGAAGATTTTATGCAATGCGCCGTTGAGTTTCAGTGCTTGCGTCGGTCTGTCATGTGCCCTCGCCTCCGAGGCCGCGTGCGGCGTCTGTTGCACCCCATGGCTGTTGCTAGGTGGCGGACCGAGGGTTGGGAGAGTGGCCATATTTCTGACCCTTGGACCGCGACCAGCTGACGGCTCGCAAGCAGGAGCTGTGCTGATCGCGCTTGTCGCTCTTGGCGGCGTGACGGAGGCGCGCTTTGTGTGCCGCTCCGCTGTTTCTGCCATCGTGTGTAACACGGCGTGCGCTCCCTGCCGACAGATGCTGGGGGTGTCGGTTACTCACCGCCGCCCCACTGCCAGATCACGGTCAAGCCGTCGCGCGAGGTGAGACGACCCGGCCACAGCACCCCTCCCCTCCCCGCCCTCATCCGCACTATCATCCCTACGCGGAGGTATGCCCGGCGTCGAGCCCGCCGTGCATAACAATGTAGCCGGACTGAGCTGGCCGTGGCCTTGCCGTCGTTACGGGACCTCTCGTCATGGCGACTGGAAGCTGAAGCTCGGCTTCACTTCTGACCACCAGGTGGGGGGCTACACCGGCTTTAGTGACGTCATCAAGCGGCTGGACTTCAAGAGCGCGTTGCACGACGCGCGCCGGTTCAACTACGTTTGCAAGCTGCTGGAGCTGCTGATCAACGAGAGCGTGATGTCACTGTCCGGCACGGCGCAGCGGGTCGTCTTCTCGCTGCTGGAGGAGCTGGCGCACACAGGTACCGCCGCCGGGCAACGCCATATATCACAGGACACATAAATTAGGCAATTCTCTGTTTTATGGTTTTTTTAGTGAATCATCTGAGATGAGGTGAAGTGGTGTTTGCAGCACGTGATTCGTAAACAACACGCGCCCGTCATGAGGTGCGATGATTTTTTACGTTATGGTTTTCTCCTCTCCCAGTGTCCAGTAATAAGTCCAATCTACGCCTACTGAACCAGATGCTGGATAACCTGAAGACGATGCTGATGGAATACTACTGTTTCGGCCAGCAACTGGGCTCAAGCCCTCTGTGGGAGCAGCATCACCAGGCCATCAGGTGGGTCAGCTTCATCATCACCCGCTGCAGTGTCCTCAAATCAGCCGCACGCATGCCATATCTGTTTGTCATGTTTGGCGCGTGCACTGTGTGCCAATCGTGGGATTCGCGTGGCGTCGTCCGGTGCCCCAGAGCCGCCGTTGCCGTCGGTGCCGCTGGCAGTCGGTTGTGGTGACGCCAATGCCGCCTGTCGGCAGCCGCATTCGCGCGGTGGCCGGCCAAATACAACTGGAGGGCGCGCCGTTCGAGCTGCAGCGGCTGCCGCCCGAGTGTCTGCGCGAGGTGGTGCTGCGCCTCAACGACCACCGCGATCTGGCCAGCTCGGCGCAGGCGTACAGCGTGCTGGCCGAGATCGCCGAGGAGAGCCGCATCTGGCGCCAGCTGTGCCAGTACCACTTCAGCGGCCAGCAGATCCAGAGCTCGCTGGCCACAGCCGGCCCGGCCGCCGGCACGCTGGCCACGCTGGCCGCCCACCCGGTGGACTGGCAGGTGAGGCGGGCTGGGCGCGCCTCCGCCACAGACTGTGCTGGACTAGACAACGGGACCTGAGCGCCCGCTAACCGATAATGAGGGGTGGTTATATGTTGTCTTTGCTTGGGGGTTGACTTACGTATCTCTGGTATGCACGCCTTACAGGCTGGTTGTGCATGCACTGTGTCTGCTCTGCTTCCAGTTATTGTGTTGTTTGTGCTGTCCACCGCATGACACTGGTGTGGACTCCCATGATATCTGGACACGGTTATCACACGAGTCGTTTGATGGCCGGTGGTCGCAACGATCAGAGATTTGAGCCATGGCTACAGCCGTCCCGCACAAACGCCGCGCCGCCTCATGCTCGGTCCGTGACCGGAGACGGCCTCTGTCGGCCAGACATTGTACCACCGGCTGCGGCGACTGTACGGCCTGCGCGAGGAGTACGCCGAGATGGTGCACCTGTGCCGCGCCTGCCGCTGCCTCTTCTGGAAGTGCTTCGGCCATCCATGCACTGTGAACTTGGCGCGCCTATCGGCCGACGAACGCGACCGCTACCACATCCCCATCCCGCCCGGCACCTTCCTCGCCTTCTTCTCGCTGTGAGCGACCCGCGTCCGCGTCCGCCGGCCGGCTCCGGCGGCGCGCGCCGGCTCGTCTCGGTCCGCCGGAGCCGCCCCCACACACCACGGACATACTCAGCGCTCGGCCGCCAGCGCGTGCTGTGACGTCACACTCCAGACATGCTCAGCGCCCGGCCGCCGGCGCGTGCTGTGACGTCACACCGCGGACACGCTCGGCCGCTGACCCACGGCGTCAGGTCGTCGGGCGACGTGAAACCCGAGCGTGACCCGACACGCCCTACCGCGAACGAAGTTGTGCGACATTGGCGTTATATTGCTGTTGTTCCTGTGTAGACCTCCATGCGAGACTGCGGTGTTAGTAGTGTCTATTTTTCAGCTGTTGAGAGCGACATATTATTTTTTATCTCCATTAGCTGCATGTGTTTTAAATGGCGGGTGGCTTTCTGAAACCTTGCGCAGCTACTTGGCATTTAACGTCAACTGTAGCGCATTTCACGTCCGCGTCGCTTCGGTGAGCGAACGTATCTTAGGTTACGGTTTTTGGTGCGCTGTTTCGGATGCAGCGTTTGTGAGACCATCCCTAGTCGCAACATCGGCTATGAATCTATAATTCCCCTCCGTGTCCCGTGCTGGAGGCTCTGCACATCTTCGATAGTGACACGTGTTTTTTCTTTGATGGGCCTTGTGTAATATCGAATGTCAAATCAGCTAGTTTCCAATGCGCCGACGCCAACGGAGCTGTGGCGGAACGGCTCTCTTTAGAAGTGACGCTGTGGGGCCGGGCTGTGCGAGACGCTCCGACCAAGTCCGGCCAGACGCTAGTCTCCCCATGTGCGTGCGCGTGTGGGGGCGTTCAATGCCGACAAGTCGGTGCGATCCATTGATACGCGCCTTCCCGCGTACGCCTCTCCGCCTGACAGGTACTCTCAGTGCGGCTTGTACGTGCAGTTGTAGTGTACCGTATCACGGAGCTTTGTCGCACCCCAGCCATCGAGCAAGGTCGCCCTGCGAAATGCGTACCCGTTCTTTTCCGTGACTGTGCGAAGGCTCAGTTGTGCTTGCGGCGCGGGGCACGCTCCGAGCGTGTTCCGGTGTCTTGACTTCAATATGTTACTTTTGTGTCGGCGATTATCGCATCGCCCTCTGAAATCGTAGAGCACGAAGAATGATCTTTACAAAATGGAACACGCTGTAGTATTTTAAACTGGAGCTTCTCGGCAGCCAAAACTGAGCGCAACCGCGCGCAGCCTCACGTCCGGCGAGCGGGAAACCGCATAGTTGTTGCAACGGTTTGCGCTGTTTTAAATGGTGTGCAGCGGCGCGCTAGTCGCAAAACGGTGTACGCATAACACGTCTGCCAGTGGCTGTGGTGATCACAGAAAGCGGCCGGGTACGTTCACGAGGGCAATCTGGCGGACGATATCCCAGATCCGGTTTGGCCGACGTCATACCCCAGATCCGGTTTTGCTGACGTCATGCGCGGGTCTTTCGGAGTCCGGTCGCCGCTAGCCATCGTGATGTGGTTTGATTTGAGATTCTATTTTTTCGCAATACATTTTCAGCTGGGGGCCGGTCGTGTTTGTGTGAATGTGACGCGAAACGAGACATGGTGAACTATGCAGCCAAACTTGGGCGCCATCAAAACTCTGCGCGGGGGATGTGCGACTGGTTCGGCAGCTTCCCGTGTTTTAAATCACAGCGCTCAAGAAACCATTCGCAAAATTCAAACCTCGTCGGCCCACCAAATTTACGTCCCCGCCTGCACTCTTCATTCATCACGCCCGCCTGCGGCGCCCGTTTCTCTTCAGTTCTGTCAGTAACCTTTCCTGGGCGGCCTTCTCTTCTGGCCAGACGACACACTTTCGGCGTCACTTTCTGACCATGGTCTCGCTGGATTACCTATGCGCTCTGAAGGGGCTCGCTAAACGCCCAACAGTTATCTGGACACGTTTTCAGCGCCATAGAACAAAACAGAAATAACAGCTAGGACGCGAAACAACCACAAACAGTGCGCGATCAAGGCCGCCAGGCGCTTCGCAGCCAAGCGATAGGTGGCGGTCGCTCGCTGAGGGTCGGGTGGTCACAAACACTCCTGGTGTGACCTGGCCGGCCTGCAGTCGGCCAGCAGGTCACTAAGATCGCTGCGTCCGGCCCGGTGGGTCACCCTCCAAGCGGCACCTCGAAGCGCCGGTTGCCGTAGCGGCAGTGCACTTCCGTGACGTCACAGGACAGCCGCGTTTGACTGGCGTAGCCGGCCACGGCCATGTCTAGCTCCGGCAGCAGTCGCTGGAAGGCAGCACTGTGGTCTCCCGTACACCACGCGATGGATAGGTGGAAGGAGCCTTCCTGAGAAGAGATCGAGAGGGCTGTAATGACTCGGCATAAAAGTTCGATCAGAACACGACATATAACGGGAAAGCATGCCCCGAATGCGGCGTACTGACCCGTACACAACGACCATGAACACAATAAAGTTCACCGCCATCACACATGTGACACAATCGAAGGACCAGACGACGAATACGTCACACTCCGGAATAACTGGTACGCATTGCTTGGTTCGACTGTTACATTCTATCAATACAGTTGTGAACATATCGAGTAAGCACGAACCGGGAAAACGTTGCTCCACCCGGCAGCCCGATCCCTAATGACTAAGCGGCACCCGGGATCCGCCCGTGGAACACAACCAAGGGTCTGTTTAGATGCCATGCCGCCGTCAAAATACCGAGCTCAGCAGACTAGCCAACCCCATCGTCAGGCGCTCCTTGTAATCCGCCGCACAATAGACGCCGCCGCAACGGCGTCTGCAACACCATGATCTCGTGGGGAGGGTCCGGACGGCCGCGTCGTGTCGGGAAGCCCACTTTACTATAGACCCCTTACCTGGTAGAAGGGCGGCAGTCCGTACTCGGCCAGGCAACGGTCCAGGCGGCGGCTGACGCCGGCGACGGCCACGCCGCCGGCCGACACCGTCAGGCCCAGGAACGTGCGCGTGCCCTCGTCATTGACGTACACCCGGGCCGGGCCCAGCGCCAGCTGAAAGCTGAGCCCTCGGTACGGTCAGGCGGGGTTCCGTACGGTCAGGCGGGGCCTCGGTGCACTCAGGCGGGGCCTCGGTACAGTCAGGCGGGGCCTCGGTACGGTCAGGCAGGGCCTCGGCACGGTCCCACGGGGCTTTGGTACGGTCCCGCGGGGCCAGGTGCGCTGCGCAGGGTGCTGGGTGGCACGCGCTGAAGGACGGCTTACATGAGTGGTGGCCGCAGGCACCGACCGGCCGCGAAAACACCACGCACTGGCCACCCGACAGTTTAGTTTATCTAAATATGGCGCTTTGGCTGCAAGGGTATGCGTCAACAAGGACTCCAGGGCGCCTCAACAAGGTCTGCCCATGGGCTTATTATGGGCTAATTCATTACCCACTGAACAAACGAAGCACGGTACTGCATATATTCCCTTCGCGGTGTCTCACCTTCCGTATGACTCCAGTGCTTGCCTCACGGACGCCATGAAGGACTGCATCCAGTGGTGTTTGAGCACCACTGTACGCGTGAGGCTGACGTGAAACTCCTCCTGGACGGTCAGCCGCACGAAAGGTTCACAAATGGTCACGCAAGTCTGTACCAGCGAGTGGAACACGGGCGACGCGTCGTACGGGATGAACACGTAAGTGGACCAGTTTCCCCGCACGTGAGCGAAACCGCGCATACGGCCCCCGTGCTCCTCAGGCCGGTCTTCGTGTCGCTCCGCCGGACCGAACATCTGCTGCACGGCGTCGGGTAGCGGCAGCGGCGGTTGCCGACGCTTGGCCGGCGGTGCGGCGGCGCCGACGCCCGGTGAGCGCGAGCGCCGCTTCTCGGCCAGGCGCTCCACGTCCACCTCCATGTCTGCGTCGGAGTCGGAGCCGGAGCCGGAGGAGCCATATTGCTGAAGAGCGATCAGGGCGGCCGGCCGCGCCTCCAATGCATGACACCGAGACATGGCTGGCGCACGTTCCGCGCGTCGCCACCACTGCTGCCGTCACCTGGGAGCAACAAATATATGTGCATCAGCTGGTGCTACTGGAGAGCCAGTGGAGCACAAGGAGCTTCATGAGCTGCACAAGATAGGTTCTCGAGGGGTATAGAATCTGACAAAGTCTCAAAAGTGAAACTTAACAAGGCTTTGTGATGAATGATGGTAAAATGATAATGATATGTCAGTACATGTACCCAACATGCACAAGCTTTATGCATTGAAGTGCTTTTATATGTATTCATCAATGAGCAAATGAGTTTCCCATACACCTTCATCAGACATGGACCACAAGAGACCACAAAATAATCATATACATAATAGTATCAGTATGTGAAACAGGGTATCACAAGAATTTCAGAGTATTACAGGTACTTCAGTGTCTAAAAGAAAAGTGACTGGCAAAAGCATGTCAAGTTGAGAAAATCAAGCACTAACACACATGATATCTCATGCCATAACAAACCATTCAAATGTTGGTTACATAGCTGCATAAACAAGGCTCTGAAGCAGGCACTGTCACTGATGTCAGCAACCATTTCTTAACTTCCATTTTGTCAACATTCACAAGCACATGCCAGAGCATACTTACTATCCAACAATGTACAACAAATCAATCAGTGGCATGCCAACTGAACAGATAATAAGATGACAGACAACCAAACATAAGCTTAGAATAGCTGGAACTGCTCCATAAGACATCAACCATTCATGGTTTGATAGAACATGACATTTCTCATATGAGACCAATACTTAATATTTTTAGTCATCCAATATCCTAGGAGTTCATCACACATGCAATTAAAACATCCTACACAAACATACATTAGTTATGATGCTATTTAGTTAGCTGGTTTATCATCAGTTATAATGATTCATGGAGACAATCAACATTACAGCCAACATGATATGTGCAAGTACACAATGACAAGAAGTGTTTAACATAAATTATTTGTATGTTACTAATGATGCTCACAGGATTTATGGAACATAAGCTACAACAGCTGAACACAAAACAGTTGCTCAATAACTTCCTAGCCTTGAGAGTCATGCTTCAACAAATGATGGATGCACCATAATTGCCATAATTTTTATTTACTTTTAAATCCAAAATAATATTATGGTCCAGGTCAAGAGGTCTACTATTCCAAACAAAGAAGGCACATGACACTGTACACATAAGTAAATGAAACTCAGCTTATGCAGCACTTTGCATGAAAAGTCGACATTGAACTGGAGTTGCTGTCTGGGTTTTTCAATGTCCTTTCATTTGCACATGATGGGAAGAATCACACATTTAGCAAAACAGTTCTCCTCTGGAAACTGTGTGAATGTCGAAAACGCTCCACCTATGGTTCTCATACAAACCCGGCCCATAATACATGTCTTGTATTGTCCTGGTTTAGGGTGTATAGCCTCCTGGGCTTTTTTGCTGTGGGCCGATGCAAGGCCTTTTTTCCCTCGACGGACCTAAAGTCACTTCCGAGGGGAGGAAATTTACTTACGGCAAAAGGCCACGCAACGATTACGTCAAACCAGCTTGTGCTGTCCTGCGCAGCGCAATGGAGAGGGTATTCGTAAGTGACGTTACGTTAACCCGGCTCATTTTTGTCCAGCGAGATCATAGCAAGTAAATCAGACCGCAGCAACGGATATACCTATTTCACGACAACATAACACGCATTCAATACGTTTGAACGACAAGTGAGCCCCCTCACCAGCCCCTTCGCCTTACTCCTGGGGTGCCGTGTGTCCTGTGTGCGGTGTCCGTCAGCGATGGACTTGGCTCAGCTGACTTGTCGGCGACCTGTGCGATGGATGGATGCCGGCCCGCTTCATCGCAGCAACGGGGAGACCACCCCCGGGCTCCGCTGCCGGCACGACCTTGTGGTGTTGTGTGATGTTATTGAGTCCTGGAAAGTCGTAACTAAGAAAAACCAGGACTCCTAGTTCATAGGGAAAACCTGCAGTCTTTGCCGAATTATGCGGGAAAAAACCTTTACTCAAATGAAGATATCTAATCCTGTACTGGGTAAAAACTCAAAGAGGAAAGCGATCAAATCAGGATAAGAATCACGGAGGAGAGAATGGAGATTGAATGGAAGCCGATTAACATTAGTGCAATTGATGAGCGGTTGCCTTGATCGTTGATATACCGGACACACGAGGAGGAAGTGATTTATTGGGAAAGGGAGGCCGCGGCGATGAGAGCGGAGGAGGAGTACGTTCGAAAAGGTGGCAGTGGGTGATTTTGGTGTCGCCGATACACAGTCTGGCAAGCAGCACTTCCTTCAGGCGATTATCTTGATTAATTGCCAGCCAGTGCTGAAGTATGGGTTTGATTGGGTGAACGTGGTGATGAGCGCGTTGGTCCCATTCGGATTGGAGAAAAAGACGGATACGTAAATTGAGAGCTGCTAGAATATAAGAAACGGGACAATGAAGATGATTACGTTCCGGAAGCATGAGACTTCGTTTTGCTTCTTCGTCAGCAGTGCTGTTTCCACGAATATTTGCGTGTCCAGGCATCCAGAGAAATATTACGTTTGTTGAGGAAGGGAGCAGAGCGTTCGTCGTATGCCGAGTTGGCTGAGATGAATTATGGAGAGTGATGAGAGCTTGTAACGACGGATGAGAGTCGGTGCGTATGGCTGCCCTTTGTAGATAACCTTACTTGATGTAGAGCAGGGCTGCCAGGATTGCTGTTAGTTCAGCCGTATACACAGTATTGTAATTCGACAGGCGGTTTGACTTGTGGTAATTATGATGTACGAAGGCAGCCCTTGTGCGACCATCCCGTCGGGAGCCGTCAGTATAAATAAACGTGTGCTGGTCGTATTCTCCTTTGAACTCAGCGAAGAGTGCACGCACTTCGGTTTCTGATACGTTTTGTTTTTGCGTTTAAACAGAAGGAGTACGTTAGGCATAGGGTCGCCCCAAAATGGCCGGCGACTGGGAGTTGGGTTGCAAGGAATGTCGGGGAGATTAAACGCTTGCTGCGCTCGAATAACACGAGTGCTGATGGTTGGATGCTGGAGTTCCGCGTTGGTAAGTGTGCGGTTGGGGCGGAGGTGTGCGAGGGCGTTGTATGTAGGGTTACTAACGTGCGCTGTAGCGTGTGCGTAAAATCTGAGAAGTTGTATTCTTCGTCAGTGTGATAGGGAGGGGATATTCGTGTCCGCGGGCAGATTTGGCCATTAAGATTCAGGAGGGTGGGAAGTTGAACATTATTTCGCCTAGAGAAGATAATTACAGCTGGCTTTGTGACGGAAATCTGTAGTGCCCACCGTGTACACCAGGCGTGAATATCATTTACAGCTAATTGTATATAATGCAGTGCGCGATCGACATTGCCATGCGTATGCTACACAGCCAGGTCGTCCGCGTATAAAGAATACTGAAAATGTGGACAAATATTAATATCATTGAAAACATAATTTATCATCACAAGGAAGAGGGTTGAAGATAAGTCACTGCCCTGAGGGAGACCGTGATCCTGCGTCGTCGGAGAAGAATAAGTATTTCCGCAACGCACAGAAAACGTCCTATCAGTTAGGAAGTTTTTAATGAAATCAGCGAGGCGGCCACAAACTCCGATTTCATGTAGTTCAATGTTTAGGTTTTATAGTGTGGCGTGCGTTTGTTTGTGAAACACCGAACCAGTGACAATATTTTGGATAGAGGGGTAAAGCGGTTGAGCATATTTGAAAGTTGGTCCCAGCTTTCCTGTTTTGCGCGTTTAATGATTATATCGGCTTGATGTTTAGCTCTGCGAAACTCCTCTTCATGAGCTCTGCAAATGCAATTACGAAAGGTACGCACAGCCCGGCGTCGCAGGGCTACTGCGCCCTGACACTCATCATTCCACCAGAGCGCATGTTTGTGCCCTGGTCGACGATGAGTGTGCGGAACGAACTGGCGCACTGAGGCTAAAATAGCGTTTAGAAATGTGGGGAGGTCGGGAGTTGTGCCTGAAGGGTGTGCCTCATCTATATAATTTTGGAAAGACGCCCAGTCCGCTCTGCGAACATTCCATCGGGAAAGAAAAATGAAGTATATTTGCCCTGATGGGACCTCTAAATTTATGTGGATCGGGTAGTGGTCACTAAAAAGCGTGTCTGATTGGACATTGTGCGTAAGAAGTGGTGCTGTGCGGGGTGTTAAGGCTAGATCTATAACAGGGTGTGTCACTCTGCCTCCGTGGTGATGTGCATGCGTAGGTGTCAGTTCGTTGATACATATGAGGTCATGAGTGTCCATGAGTGTGTGTAAAACTTTCCACCTTGCTTGTGTTGTGCTACAAGCCCATGCGCGATGATGGGCGTTCAGATCCCCAAGGAGACAGGGCGAAGGAATTTGGGCGAGTAAGGCAGAGAGATCAGCTGAGGAGACAGGGCTAGTGGGGCTAATGTATATAGAACGAAGAGTAAGATCTAACTGTGCTAATTTTACATTTATTTCAACTGAATTGAAATGGGTATTAAAATGAACTTGACGATGCAAAAGGTTATCCGAGACAAACATGGCCGAACCGCCTCGGCGCGGGGTTTCGTTTACGTTATGTGTGTAGAGGCAATAACCGTTGATCTTAAAGCTATAATTAAAATAATTCTAGTCGTTAAATAAGGTCTCTTGAACGCCGGCTATTAACGCTTTGTTGTTTATAACATATTCCTTGAATTCTGCCCAATGGGATGCCAGAGATCTCGTATTCCATTGGGGCAAGAATTCACCGAACTGGGGATTCATTTAGGGCAGGGAGGGAGACCATCCTGCGGAGCGGCAGTGAGAGCGATCGAGGGGCGCGACGGCGGGAGCGCGTAACGGGTCGGGCGAGGCGTTCGACTGAGGGACTGGCCCGGGGGGTTGGCGTCGGGAGCGCGGCGGGTGAGGCATCGGATGGGGCTTCTTGGGACGCCGGCACGAGTGGAGTGGACCAACAGCGACGTGTTGGGGTGGGAGAGAGGCTCTCCGAGTCTGGTGGGGCGGGTTCCTGCTCAGGGAGGCTCGCAGCCACCGGGTTTGCTGTGACTGGGTCGGCTGGCGTGGACTCGATCATACACAGCACTGGACGCGGCTGACCTGCTGGGGAGGGGCGGCGTGCTGAGGAGGAGCGTTGTGCTGAGACATAACGCTGGTTCGATACCTCAGGCTCCTCAACAGGACATGGAGGAGGGAGGGGGCGTCGCCGCGGAGCTGGTGTTAGAGGGGGAGAGGGTGCGCCTCACGCGGCGTGGGCCACTCCTGAGAATGGAGTACTCGGACCGGTGCATAGGCCGCTGCCGCTGCCTGCTGCTGGCGCTCGCGCAGCGCCTCGCGCTGCATATGCCAGGCGGGACAGGCGCGGCGGTGCCCAGCTGCGTGCGGGCCTTCACATGTGGCGCAGCGCGGGCTTTCCGCGTCACACTCCCGCGTGTGATGAGGGTCGGCGCAGCGTCCGCAGGTCGGGCGCGCAGCTCGGCAGGTCCGGTCAGTGTGGCCGAACCATTGGCACGTGCGGCACCGCTGGAGGAGTGGGGGGGACCCAGGCCTTTAGCGGGATCATGGGGTATCCGCGGTGGATGGCACGTGGGAGCTTTAGCCCCCTAAATCGCAGGCGGACGAGTGGGTTGGAGCCCAGGCCAGGACAGCGGGAGGGCATGCGCATAACCTCGCACATCCCCTGCTCGGTCAGCTCCTCTAGTAGCTAGTCGTCCGACAGCTCGGCGAGCTCCGGGCTGTAGACGACCGCCTGGATGGTGTTCAGGCGGTCTGCGATGGTGGCTATGACCGCTCGCCCCAGAAAACTGCTCAATTTGACCATGGCCTCTGCCTGACGCTCCGAAAAACCCTAACTAGCAGGGCTCCCGAGCGCAGCGGTTCGGCTCCACCCACTTCGCCGGTGTGGAGGTCAAGCTCCCGACGGATGGCGAAAGGGTTCATCGTGCGGAAGCTTTTTCCGCCGGCGTTTCTGATGAGCACGAAGCTCGGTCCCTTCGGAGGGGAAATGGAGGGGGGTAGACAAGCCCCTCGCCGAGCCGGTCGCAGGAGGGGAGATGTTGATGACATCTTGGGTCTTAAACTTAAACTTAACTTAAATTCACTTATGAACTAGTAATTAAAACGCTTAAAGCTAAATAACACAATTCCGACACACATTAGGCTGTCGTCAGCACACGTGCGGATCACCTGCCTGCACCGTCGTCCTTACAGCGGCTGGCAGGTGGCAGCACCTCCTGGCGGCGGGAAGGGGCGGATCCTAAATTATGACGTCAGCACGGGACGCTGAGTGAGAAATATATCAATTACTGTTTTGAAATCAAGATAGGCGAGACGGTATACCGTGAACGCTACCAAGGCAATGTGTGATGGAATTTAAACAAAAACACCACCACCACATTGCCCCACAACGACAGAGAAACGGAGCAAGCAACGCAGAAACGGAGCAAGCTGAAACACGACCGCCGCGAATCACGCCGCAAACCGAGCTTCCTCCTGGGCTCAAGCGTCCGTTTCAGTTGTCTTCCCTCGTTGCGTTCATTTTGTATTCAGATTTTCCTTGCAGCTTTCTTTTGGTATACTGTGGAGACTAAGCATGTTGAGGAACATGAAAGATTTAGCCACGGGATGGATCCTGGTGTAAAGGATGCATTAGCACTCAGTAGTCAATAATATCTCGAACTACAGAATTAGGAGTCACTGTATCTGCATACAAGTAAACTACTCATTTATACCAACAGGCCTGGTCTCCTTGATCACCTCATTTGTTCCGCACTCAAACAATAGCACAAGATCTCGCAATTTCAGCGACACACGACACATGAATCGCGGTGGCACGCACATTTGTTTGTCAGCACTCTGGTGCAGAATGTGCTCTCCATGCGTCGCATTTAAATATGTATATATATATATATATATATATATATATATATATATATATGTTC